GAGTGTAAGGCTTGTATATTGCTGTCCAGATTCAATGTTCCAAAATTTATTTTTAAAAATTTTCTGTAGCATCGCATTATTACAATTACTCTTGGAAGATAAACCGGTATGGCTGGCACTACACGAGGCACATTTTGGACACTAGAGGGCACTGGTCTTTTTCCCAAGAGAAAAGTAAGAAGAAAGAATATGTAGCATCTCACTTGTTGATTTTTTTTTTTTTTAAGATGTTGTTTTTAAGTAATCTCTGCATCCAAGGTAGGACTTTAACTCACAACTGGAAATCAAGAGTCCTATGCTGTATCAGTGAGCCAGCCAGGTGCCCTACACTTGTTGATTGTGTTTTTTTTTTTTTATTTAAAATTTTATTTATTTGACACAGAGAGAGAGAGAGATCACAAGCAGGCAGAGAGGCAGCCAGAGAGAGAGGAGGAAGGAGGCTGCCGTGGGGGGCTGGATCCCAGGACCCTGGGATCATGACCTGAGCCTAAGGCAGAGGCTTAACCCACTGAGCCACCGAGGTGCCCCTCACTTGTTGATTTTTTTTAGGTAGATTAATGGAAAGTAGCAGTTACCTCCATTTATTCTTGTGGAAATGATTATAGAAGAGTATAAGCTTGTATTTTCATCTAGAATCTGAGATCCAAAGTCACCTGAGATTGTAAATTTACTCCATTTTATATCAGGTTCACATTATTTATCACCCCTTGCCTACTACTAAAAGTATATTCGTTCTTGCTTCAGAAAGATTGAGGGCAGCTTTCAAGATACATACAATATAGCATGATAAAATACATTGAACATATGTGAGGAGAAGACAGAATAAATATAGGAAATTATACAGAATGAAGGTGAATTTAATCACAAAATGTATTCCATCAAATCCTAAACACTGCTAAGGCTGGGCTGCAAATTTGGCTCTGAGCAGACATGGGAGGCAAGGTAGCATATGGGAGTCTCAGCATCCTAAAACAGTGGGTTTTTTTTAATGACTTTAAAAAAGATTTTATTTATGTGTAACAGAGAGATAGCGAGAGAGGGAACACAAGCACAGGGGGCTGGAGAGGGAGAAGCTGGCTCCCTACTGAGCAGGGACCCTGACATAGGGTTGGATGTGCGGCTGGACATGGGGCTGGTTGTGGTGCTCGACATGGGGCTGTACATTGGGCTTGATCCCAGGTTGCTGGGATCTTGACCTGAGCTGAAGGCAGAAGCCTAACTGACTGAGCCACCCAGGCACCCTCAAAACTGTTTCTTAAGCCAGTAATGTAGGAACTCCTTTTTCATTGATCCCTAGAATTGACTTATTATAATATGCATAAACTAGATATATGCTCCTTATGCTGTTAGCTCTTATACAACTAAAAAAATAAATTTATAGATAAAATGATGAGAAATAAAACTATAAAATTATACATTACTCATTAACAACATTAGTTAAATGTAACAAATGATGTTTGGCTGAACTTAAGTTACGGCTTGAAATGTGAATATGATGCTCACTGCTCAGACTCTTGCTCTTTTGAACTTAGCTTGCCTATTCTGGGTGTCATGTGAGGGTTCATTTAGCATACCATTTTTCTGTTTGGTTTATATTGCATGCCTTGACATCATTTGGTTTTCATTTGGACAATAAAAATCTGAATATTTTAATATTAGCTGGTTCTATATCCTGTTGTAAGCACAACAGGATATAGAAGAGGCTGCAAGAGCGTGGCCGTTTATTTGCAACCCAGAGACAGAGGCCTCAGGAGGAAATAACCCAGCAGGCACCTTGATCTGGACTTCAGCCTCCAGAACTGTGACAAGTAAATTTCTGTGGTTTAGGCGACCCAGTCTGTGGCATGTTGTTATGGGAGCCCTAGCAAACTAATAAAAGCATGTATTGATAGTAGTGGAAGCCATGGAATTTATGAGGTCATAATCTAGAAGTATACCATAAGAAGAAAAGTTAACCTCATTGAGAACTCTGTAGAATACTTCACATCTTTAACAGATGGGTGGAGGGAAAGTAGTCCTCAAAAAAGAATGGCAAGGATTGTCAGGGAGGTAGTAGAAAAATCAGCACAGGCTGATGGGAACCAAAGAGAAAGTTTCTAAAAAGGAGAGGGTACTACAGAGAAGGCAAGGAAGACAAAGCCTGAAAATAATTTTGGCAAATGCACCTTAAGAAGAATAATTCTATCAGAATGATTCTGAATGAAGCCATAGTCGAGGGGATTGACGTTTGAATGGGAAGTGGGAAAAAGGAACATAACTCTTTTAAGATGATTGGCCATGAAATGAAGAAACATGCTTTATAAAGCCTTAGCGTAATTTTTAATAACTGCATAATTGTCCTTCATTTGATTGTATTGCTTTCAGATTGTGTTCATTAGAAATTTGTTTCCTTTGTATTTTTTATTAGTGTTTTAAATAACTGTGAAAAACATATTTCACTACATTCTACTTTGCATTAGAAACAGTTCCTTAGGCACGATTGTTGACTTGCAAGTTGGATGAAGGAACATAAACATTTTTAAGGCACTTGTTAGACCCATCGGATAATTTTCTAGGAGGGACTTACCTATTTATGTTTTCACATGCAGTGTATGAGAGTGTCAATTTCATGATTGAATTTCATGATTTTTAAAAACATCTTTGTGTTCTCTATTAAAGGGATCCTTACAGAACTACTAATTCTAGACCTGGAGCAAGGATAATTAAGTATGAGTCTGGTGTATTTTATTGGGTGAGAAGGTAAGGAAGTGCTCAGAAAGTGAGAAAGGCATGTCAAGTGTACATGGAATCTGCTTGAAGGGGCTCTCGCTGGGCAAATCAGGGAAAACTTGACTATCAAAAAGAGTGATACGGTAATGAATTATAAAATACTGTAAAAAAATCATGAGTCTGTACTAATACTGTTAAAAATAAACTGAGGCATATTACAATTTTTAAGAGCTTATTTGAGCAGGAAATGACCATTGCCAAATGTGAAATTATTGGAAACATTACAGTGACAGGAGCTAGGGAAAAGACTTTTATTTATTTATTTTTTATAAAGATTTTCTTTATTTATTTGCAAGAGAAAGTGCGCACAAGAGCAGGGAGGGTCAGAGTGAGAAGCAAACTCCTACTGAGTGACCCTCCTGGAAGGCAGTCACTTAACCCACGGAGCCACCCAGGCACCCAGGGGAAAGACTTTTATAGAGAAGAGGCAAAAGCAAAACAAGGAAATTGTTTGATAGATTACAGCTTAGGCAGTTGCTGTGTTTGTAAAGCCTAGGTGGGTGGTTGTGATTGGTTAGCCTTAGGTTTCAAATTCATAAGCTTGAGGTATTACAGGCTTAGGTTTGGGTTTGCTTATGTAGGCTACTAAGACATTAGAACCATCTCAGTCTAATGGTCTCCTTATTTAATTAATTGAATATTGGGAATCAATATAAAAAAAGAAAAGGAGGGGTGCCTGGGTGGCTCAGTGGGTTAAGCCTCTGCCTTCAGCTCAGGTCATGATCCCAGGGTCTTGGGATCGAGCCCCACATGGGGCTCTCTGCCCTGCGGGGAGCCTGCCTCCACCTCTCTCTCTGCCTGCCTCTCTGCCTACTTGTGATTTCTGTCTGTCAAATAAATAAATAAAATAAAAAAAAAAAAAAAGAAAAGGAAAAGCTATTTTGAGTACATATGCAAGTGATACCTGATGGAAGAATATATAGTACCATCCTAACAATAATAGACTCAGTAAGAACCATAAGTCCGTGCTTCAACGAAGGGTTTGTTAGAGGTCACACCCAATAATCCCAACTTTCTCACTCAGGTAGGTGAGATTCTCTGCTGAGAATGATAGTCAAGGTAATGGGGCAGGAGGAATGGTGTGATGTGGGATAATAGTTGAGAAATGAAAGAGGAAGCTGACGACTCTTAGGAAGATTGCTGAGGGCCCCCCTGAGGGTGGTAGGGATTTCCTTGTACTGGGATCAGCTGTCCGGTTTCGGTGCTGCTCTCCATAGCTGAGAAGGCTAACTCGAGGAAAACTGGGTAGGGATTTGCCAAAACTCTTGAGGAAAGGGCTTGACGAATTTAATTAAAATAGCCCCTCATTTTGGGTTTCCTTTCTGACCGCCCCTGCCAAGCCCCACAATTGGGGTCAGCAGGTTTGGGCATGTTTTCTCACAGCAGTACAAAAAGATGGACTAATGCTAGCCAGGCTGAGCAAGACGAGGCTTGGTAATTTTCTTTGCACCCAGTCTTGGTGCAACACAAAACTTGAACGAGAAGACTAGCTCTAGGGCTCACATCGCGTACTCTGGGGTAAGGCACTGTGCCAGAAGCTTTATGTGAAATGTTTTACTTTATTTTCAAACGCTGTCTGTGAAGTGGGTATTGTTATCAGCCTCATTGTACAGTTGAGGGCAGGAGCCCGAAGAATTTAGTAGTTTGTTTAAGGTCACACGGCCAGTTATTGCCCGTCACTTAAGTGTGACAACGGTCTGCGCTCTTGTGAATGTCAGTCCCTGCGAACGCGGAGCGCGGTAACAGCTTGCGAAAGCCCCCATCATCGAACACATACGGTAACGGCGGCGGCCCAGACAGCACCCGTCCGGTGACCCCGCACGCGTGATGCTCACGCGCGCAGTCGCCTTGGCTTCCTCTGGGAAGGCTGAAGCGGCCTAGTCAGTCAAATTGCCCAAGACGACTCTATTTGAGCTCGACTCCTTTTGCCTGGGCGTCTGATCCGAACGTGGCGCGGCTGGGAAGGAGGGGGCGGAGCCGGCGCCCGGGAGAGTTGCGGATTGGAGAGCAGGAGGAACGGGGGGCGGAGCCTTTGGGGGAAGCGAGAAGCCTCATTAACCATGTAAGTGGCTTTGCTTCCTGCCGCAACAGCCGGCGGCCCGAGTATCCTCGTCGCTGCGCTCCGGAGCTGGCTTCCTGCGCCTGGACGGGGTGAAGCGGCGACTGGGGTGGAGGGTGGCCGGCGGGGCCGGGGCGGGAGGCGAGGTAAGAGGCGGCCTGTCGCGCGGCGGGCTGGCGCTGAGAGCGGGGGAGAAGGCCGGTTTGAGGAGCTCCGGGGCCAGAGCGGAGGGGAAGGCTGAAGTGAGGGCGAGAGCTGGCGTTTCCCAACCGTGTCGGGAGGCCGGATTGCGGCCGAGGCTGGGCAACGAAGGGCAGAGAGCCCGCGCCCTTAGCGAGCCGGCTCCCTGATTCCCCCGTTGCCCCTTCTCTGGCGAGCGGGGAAGGGAGCCGGGTGCGGCTGTTCTTGAAGACGTTTCCTCGGAAACATTTGAAGTTCCCTTGCCCGTCTCTTGTCCCGTGTCCCCGAGCTTGTTTTGGAGGTGCACAGTCCAGTTCCTCCTCCTGTCAGTTGCCTCCGTAGACTGAAGAAGAAAGTTCCTGAGCCACAGAAAACGACACCAATAGTGGGTTTTCAAATATGTATGTACCTCCTTAAATGATTGCTTCTGCTATTTGAGTCCGTTCCATTTCTACCCGTGTTTGAGGAGGAGACTTGATTTCCCAGTTAGTATTTTCCCTTTGCTTAGAATATTCCCAACAAAAGGGTGAGGATGAAATGTGATGGATATTTTTAGGGAGTTAAGAGTCTCCTGTTCAATATAGAGGTTATTATTTTTAACATATTCGAGAAATATGAGAAGTGCTAGAATTCTGTACAAAGCAAGTTACTTAGGTTTATCGGAAGTGTGTAGGTATATGCTAAATTATCACGGGTGGACTCAGTGCATCCTCTTTTAAAATGAGTACCCTGCTGACGGTAGAGGTAGTGGGTTGGGGTATGGCGCTCTCTTCTTTCTCACTTACTTGAATCTGGTTTTCTGCCACTCCAAAACTCCCATCAGGATTCAAAAATAATTTTAGTTTTCATTTCAGTTTTTTGTTTTTGTTTGTTTGGGTTTGGGTTTTTGACAGACTGGGCAGGTTAAGTCTTCTGTGGAGCAAGACTACATACAGTCCCTTTTTCTTTCCCTGGGTGCTCCCTTTTTCTCCTTTTTGGGCAGAGTAATATGGATCATGTTGTGGTCTTGCTTTAGTGTTTTTGTTGGCATGTTGATGAAAAATTGAACAAAAAAACCTTTGTTGTTGGAAACTGACATTTCTGGTATTCAGCTGACTTGTATTATTTTGGGTACAGTTTAAGTATTTTTAAAAACTGTATTTAGGAATGATTCAGCTGATACTTGGGTTTTTTCATCTGTTTTATTTTGAAATTGGCTCGTAGATCGGGCTTGTTTAATACTTGATTAGCTTTCATATTGGCTTAATCACCGAGATAGCGGGTGGTGGGTCTGTATATACTAGGAGCCTTCAAATGAGAAGAGGCAGAGTACTGGCATTCGGAAGAGTAGGTTAATATTTCTAATTGCCTATCACTTAGCAAAGACTCCTGGTTTATATCACAGACAGTTTTTAAGCTTCCAGAGTAAGAATTGTAAGACAGTTTTTTCAAGATCCCGGTGTCCTTATGGAATTTTTAAGATGAACTGTGTGACTGTGTTTATGTTTCAGAGATTATAGTTGCTGAGTGTTGTCATGGTAATTTTTATCCTCATATTTCCAAAGCTTATTAATTAGTTTCGTATGTGGGCGACCCTCAGAAGTAATGCTGAGATTCTTTATTCAGATTGCTAACTCTGCTTCTGACGTTACTTATGTCAAAGTAGAATGTAGACTGTTTTCCCAGGCCTGAGTGTTCCTGTAATCACATAATCCCTTTTCTTTAGTGCTCTTTTTTTTTTTTCTTTCCTTTTTCCCCCGTTCCCCCGCTTTTTGAGTTTACATTTCTTCAGTCAGCAGCTTGCTTCAAAATCCTTTATGCTGGAATATGGATTGTTGACTACTCTCCCCAATAGTGGGTGATATTAGAGGCCTCCTCTCTCCCTCTCCTTCCCTTCTTCTTCCTCCTCCCAGACCCTCCCTCACTCTGCGGGCTCCCAACCTTCCCTTCCCTTCCCTTCCTTCCTTCCTTTCTTCCTTCTCTTCCTTCCTTCCTCCACCTTCCTCTACCTTCCTCTCTCTCTCTCCTCCATCTCTCTCTCTGCTCTTCCTCAACACTCCTTCCTCTTTTTCTTCCTCCTTCCCCCCTCCACCATACCAATAAACATTTATTGCCAAATCATGTTCAAGCCCATGGTTTAATTTCTGCTTTGTTTAATTAATTAATTATCAATCAGGCAATGTCTTGAGTAGTTAGAATTCAGATAGGCTAGAATTGGAAGTCTGTAAAGAGCTACAAAAATAATTTTGATCTAAAGAGGAATTCTAGAATGAAACTTTGGGATCTACTTACAGTTCTATCACTGACTAGCTCTGTGACCCTCAAGAAAGGTGTTTAGGTTCAGTGTACATTGCTTGCCTCCAAGATGAAATGTAGTAATAAGTCCAGCTCTGTGCTTCCTCCAGGATTTTTGCAAAAATAAAACAAGATGGTAGATATGATTTTGAAAGTGAAAAGCATTTGAAGGAGTATGATGTTCTCATAGTAAAACATAAATTAGTTGACAAACTATAGAACTTTAATGACTAAAGTTATGTGTAGTTTATGGTTCTCATTTATTTGAAGTATTAATATGGCAGGAAATAGACACTCGTGTTTTTTTGTAACCTCCATCTGTTGATGTGGTTACCTTTCCTACTTCAGTTGAACTATGATTTTTAGTTTTTTGGGAAAAAGCCCTTTAAGATCTTCATTTTAATGTCTATATGAGTTTACTCTTAAAAAGAGAAGAACCAGGTTCATGTGCCTGGAAGAAGAGATGCTAGGAACAGCTTGTTGATTTGTATAGTTTTTGAAGTGATAAGGCGTGGCTTGAGGTTATATGTATTATATATATATAATATATAATATATAATTACATGTTATAGAAATATATAATTTTGAGGTTATACACAAGTATCATTAAGGGTTGACTGTTGTATCTTTTCTTGGAAATATTTATGTTTTACATTTTTAATTTTTCCAATTTTTAAAAAAGATTTATTTATTTACTTTAGAGAGTGAGAGAGAGCGCACCCACATGTGAGCTGATGGAGGGGCAGAGGGACAGAGAATCTCAAGCAGACTCCTTGCTGAGCTCAGAGCCCATATACTGGGCTCCAATTCCATCTCATAAACCCTGAGATCATGATCTGAGCTGAAATCAGGAGTCAGACGCGTAACTGATAGCCACCCAGGCGCCCCTGCTTTGCATTTTTTTAAAAGAAAAAATTGAAATAAGTTCAGAAAATTTTGAGGAATTAATATACTTGTGTAAAACCAGTTTTCCCCAGTATTGAGTATCTGTCTTTAAAAAAAAATCCTAAAATGAAAAAGATATAAATTATGTCAAAATGCTTTTTTTTCTTTTTTCCTGCTCACATTTATATTTACCTCCAAATTGTTAATGATTTCGATGTTTTCTGTAGATTGAATAACAATGCAGACAGTTAGATTGGCTATATGATCATAGTTTCATGTGATCGAGACCCTTATGATCTAGACTGCAGTGTTTCTAAGCCTTAATTTGCAATATATGCTACACTAGATTTATTTACTCTTTGGTTTTCAGAGGTCTGAGTTTTCAGAGTCAGATTTCCAGATATTTAGGGCTGCTGTTTCGAATCAACTTTTGAGCTTCCTTAGGAACTCCTATCTTTTGTTTTTTAGACTCATGAGATGGCCACAGATGATAAGGCTTCCCCAACATTGGACTCTGCTAATGATTTGCCGCGGTCTCCTACTAGTCCTTCTCATCTCACACACTTTAAGCCTTTGACTCCTGATCAGGACGAGCCTCCTTTTAAATCAGCGTATAGTTCTTTCGTCAATCTCTTTCGATTTAACAAAGGTAAGCATTATTCTTAAGGATCAGAGAAGCTGCAATTTTGATTTTCTGAAATTCTCTTGTTCAGCTTTCATGCTGTGTCTTTGCAAGGATGTGAAATATCAACAAGGAGATAGCTTTAGTCATAGGTCACTGGGGTTTATTGCTTATGAAGAGAAAGCTAGAGTTTTCCCTGCAATCTTATTAATTATTGGTAACTAAAGATCTAAATTGAAAACTAAATGTTAAAAAGAGGTCCCTTTTTGAAGTTAGCGTTTTTTTTTTTCCCTTTTTTAATATATTTCAACTTTCTTAAGTTCACAGAATGGACTTTGTTCTTTTAAGGGTTAATAGACAAAAGATTGTAATTAGACCCATAAAACTAGAAGAATCAGCATATGGGAGGAAAGGTTCTTCTGTTTCCAAAATTTAAACTGTCAGCATGCCTGTTGCCTTAAACCCATTAGATTAAGTTATAAATGTAATGATATCAAGAGAAAAGATACTTTTTACTTATTTATTTCAGGAAATTTAGTATCGATGCAGTACTTTTATGTAATGAACAGTCTGTATTCCACACAAATGAAGTGTTCCCAAAAGAAAACTTTGCTTCCAGGATCCAGTTCAGGGTCACATTTTGCATTTAGTTTTCATCTGTCTTTAGTCTCCTATTCTTAGTCTTTTGTGAGGTTGACATTTTTGTAGATAACACGCCAGTTATTTTACAGAATCTCCCTTGTTTGGGGTCTTCCTTATTTTTATTTTTTTCACTGAAGTGTAGTTGACAACATGTGTTACTTTAGTTTCAGGTGTACAGCATAGTGATTGGACAAGTCTATACGTGGTGCTGTGCTCCCTCAAGTGTAGCTTCCCTCTGTCACCATGCAGTGCTCTTATATACCATTGACTATGTTCCCTATGTTGTGCCTTTCATCCCCATGACTTGTCCATTCCATCAGTGGAAGTGAAAAGGTACTTTTTAAATGAGCTCTTTACAAGTAACGTATTTTTTACCCGGAAAAAATTTTAAAAAATATGGCCTGTATCTTCGCTTTCTGTTTGTCTGTGTTATTTGATATGCAGTAGAAAGTAATCCCTCTTGTTGTAAGGAATTTGAGGGTTAATTGTTAAATGAATTCAGGAGAAATTTTAGTAGTATTAACTGACTTTTAGTAGTAGTCATATTTAATTTTTATTTATTTATTTATTTATTTGACCGGCAGAGATCACAAGTAGGCAGAGGCAGGCAGAGAGAGAGAGAGAGGAGGAAGCAGGCTCCCTGCTGAGCAGAGTCCTGTGCGGGGCTCGATCCCAGGACCCTGGGATCATGACCTGAGCCAAAGGCAGAGGCTTTAACCCACTGAGCCACCCAGGCGCCCCAGTAGTAGTCATATTTAAAGCTGTATAAAACCTCCTCTTCTTAGTCCATTTTTAAGATAATGACTTTTTTTTTAATATTTTTTACTTATTTAACAGACAGAGATCACAAGTAGGCAGAGAGGCAGGCAGAGAGAGAGGGGGAAGCAGGCTCTCTGTTCAGCAGAGAGCCCGATGTGGGGCTCGATCCCAGGACCCTGAGACCATGACCTGAGCCGAAGGCAGAGGCTTAACCCACTGAGCCACCCAGGTGCCCCAAGATAATGACTTTTTAAAAAAATCTTACTATTTACTTTTAGATTTATGGAAAAATTGGGAAGATAGTACAGAGTTCTCATATACTCCCACACCCAGCTTTCCCTATTATCAACTTACGTTAGTATAGTGTACTTATTATACTGTATTATATTCATGAACCATCATTGATGCATTGTTGTAAACTAAAGTATGTGTTTTAATCATACTTGTTCAGTTTCTACCTAAAGTCCTTTTTCTATTCTAGGATCTCATCCGAGATACGACATTATATTTACTCATCATAAGACAATAATCTTATTCAGCAAATGTTTATTGAGCCCCTACTATCTGCTCACTATTGCACTGTTTTAATAGTGCATGGTATCTACCCCATAAACAAAACCGATCAAAAAAAATTCTCTGCAGTCATGTAAAGCTTGTATTCTATTTCCTTTAATATGCTCACAATATTTCTAATGAAATGTAAAACAAACTGAGGATCACATATGCCAAGGATATATTAGCTTGTAATTTTTCCACTTTCTTTTAATTTCTTTTTTTTAAACTTAATTTTTAATTATGTAAGTAATACGTAGTTACATTGTTTTCTGAACAATTTCATCCTCTTTGCTGAACTCTTGAGTTTTTACTTTTTTAAATAATGCCAAGCTTTCCTTTGTTACAGAGCGCGCAGAAGGGGGCCAGGGAGAGCAGCAGTCTCTAGCTGGAAGTTGGGCCAGCCCTCAGCTTCCTTCAAGAACACAGTCTGTGAGATCACCTACACCTTATAAAAAACAGCTTAATGAGGAACTTCAGCGACGATCTTCAGCAGTATTAGGTGAGACGGTGCTTCTCATTTCATCTCTCTCTCGTGTGTTGGATTTTTCCAGTCATTGTGTTTCCCAGGTTGTTTATTGACTTAACTTTTCTGCTGTTTTGGAATAGTCAGGTGCTCTTCAGAATTAATGACACTATTGCCTCAGTAGTGAAAGAATTTGTTGATAGCTAAAAAAAATTCCTAAGCGTTTTATTAAATTTTAACTTAGGCCAAGCACAGATCTCTTGACTGTTTTTTGATGAATTACTTGCTTGGGTTTCAGAAGAGAACAGTTTGCAACATCCCCAGGAGAACACAGGTTAGTTTCAACTTTGTGAATGAATTCTGCATCTGTTCTTGGGATGGCTAGTGTAATGTGGTGCGCGTGCCTCTGGCTGCAGAACTCTGTCACCTCCGTTAGCGGGCTGCCACTTGCTCTTGGCCTTCTGTCCTTGTTGGGGTGCAGACTGTCCTTGTGGCTGGATGAGCTGAGCTCTTGCCTGTTTGTTCTCTGTCCTGGTCTACTATAGTCATCTCCTTCATTTTCATGCTCTTCTGATAATTATAGACTGGGGGTCAGTGCCTGAATTGAGAGACAAAACAAAGTGAGTTGTTTTATGTTTTATTTCTGTTAGAATATTAACCTCAGCACAGTGCTTTGCCCAGCTCAAGGTGATAGAAGAAAGGCAGTGAGAGGTGGCATAAGAGAGGAGGAGGGGGCAGCATTGGAAGTCAAGTGTCCCTCGACACCAGATCCTGTCTTGTCTGGCCAGCTTCCCCATGAGATCCTTGAGTGAAAAGTAGGCAGGCACAGGTAATGATGGTTGGCGGGAGGATATCTTACGGCCAGCTGAGACTCAGTGTGGAACCTGAGGACTGGAGTGGGGCTTGTGCACGTTTCCTAGGGTAATGAGCCTCAGCCTGGGTTACATCAGCCATTTTGGAAGGAAGACCCAGAAGGTGGGAAGGGGGAGAGGGAGAGAGGAGCTCTTCTTCTACCCCAGATTATGGGAAGGAAGAGACCATCCCCACCTATCCTTTAAGCTCAGTAAACTCCTTTGCTTTTAAACCTGACCTGAGGCCACACTATTGTTTTTGTTGAGGGATCTGATTATGTCCTATGCTGAATTAAGCATAGAATTTCCTTATTTGTCAAATTTAGGAGTTGGACTAGAGGCTCTTAGGGATTACAAACTGACAGCCTATCACACCTTGCCTTGGTGTTTTGATAAACTTGAATTTAAATATCACTAGGTAGGGGTGCCTGGTTGGCTCAATTGGTTAATCCTTTGCCTTTGGCTAAGGTCATGATCTCGGGGTCCTGGGATTGAGAGCCCCAAGTTGGGCTCCCTGCTCAGCTGGGAGTTGCTTCTCCCTCTCCCTCCTCTCCTCCCCCCTGCTCATGTGCACTCTCTCACTCTCTCAAATAAATAAATAAAATTAAAAAAAAAAATCACTGGGTGGAGCTTGTAATGTCTAATTTGGTACAATCCTTACCACTCCTTACTGTCTTTTATCAAGTCCCTTTGATTCTTTGATTCTTTCTGCCTTAGCTGCTAGAGGCATTTACATTTAAGCTTCGGAAGCCTGGAACTGTTTGACCAATCAAGTTCCTTTTTCTACTGCAAGGCTGTAATTCCACAACTTATTAGCCCTGTGACTTTAGGAACATCATTTCATTATGTAAGATCCGTTTTACAAGAGAAGCATCTAAGGTTATTTAGGGCAGAGTGCCAGACCAGATTTCCTCTCAGGTCTCTTTCACCTTCATGTGTGATTCTTTTGGTTCCAGCAAAGCCTTGCGTTTCCTTTTCCGGTGAATGATGCCATCAGTACTCTCTTATGCTTCTAAATAGCTAACTGCAAGGGGTTGTCCCTGCATGGGAGCACAGCCTTGCAGTCTAACAGCTTCATCTGCCTCTTTTTTTACCTTATGAGTTATGGACACTTCCTTTGTTTTGTGATACTCAAGGAGAATTTGGTCATTCTAATGCTTGTATGTTGTATTCCAGTAACAACACATATGAGGTGTCTGCTGAAATTAGCATTTGACTATAGAAAAAGTTTTTAAAGTTTTCTAACATAGGTGCACTTTTGATAATTATTTGTGTTATTCAGTTGTCTTGGGAAGTTACTTTGTCAGTTTAGATTCAGAGAACAACCACTCATTTCTCGGTAATCCTTTCTGTGCCACCCAACCAAAACAAAGAACATTTAAAACAAATCTAGCGGTGAGTTTGAGAAAGACTTGAGGCCGGGTATTTTCCCTCTTGATTTCCATAGGTTATTTGTTAATGAGATTAAACTAATAGAGGTTTTCATCCTTTGTTTTATCAAGCCACCTCCCTTCATTCTTAAGTTTTGTAACAGCCAGAGCCAGGAAACTTAAGTCGTAATCTTACTCTAAAATAAGGAAATAATATGACAGTTTTTGTGGGCATACGCATTTTGTCCCCGAAGCTGGATTTGGTTTACTATTGATAGGACTGGCTTCGGTATTGCTATTTAAAGTGTAAGTGATGTCTTTCAGTTTGGAGATGCCCGGTCAAGGAGGTGGCAGGAAAGGGTAGGACTGGAGTTCTAGCAATTCTTTGGTGTTTTTAATCTGTTTAGATCTTGGTGAAGGGAATTGTGGGTAAATTACCACCCTGGATATTCTGAGCTCTCTCAGTCTTCGGGGATGTGGTTTTTAAACTCTTTTCTGATCATCTGCTTCATGAGGCTTTAGGTACTTGGTCTCTAGACTGAACTGAACTGTTGCTTACTGTTTGGCTGTAGAGACTAAGCTAGGTTAACTCACAGGGATTGCTTTTTCTTCTAAATTTTTAGCAGGTATTTATGATGACTTGGGACCAAAGAGCCCAGTAAATCATAATGAATTTTGGGCCCTTTTAAGCAATGTGTCTGTCTGAGGCCTCAAAGCCATCAATGGCCTTAGACAATGCTTTTCTTAGGTAGCCCTTACTTGCTTGTGAAGCAGTGTTTTACCTGGTAATAAATACTTCCAACAGCCGCTTATCTTTGTAAAAACTAGTTTAACTCTCAGTCCATATCAGTAGCTGGGAGAACATAAAGGCACTGTGCATCACATATATACCTTATTTTGCATAGATATTAGAGACTAATAACAAGGTTGCCTTTTCTTTCTTTCTTTCTTTTTTTTTTTTTTTTTTTTGGTAAATCTGATTCAGACACGAGAAGGAAAGCAGAACCTACCTTTGGAGGTCATGACCCTCGTACAGCTGTTCAGCTTCGAAGCCTCAGCACAGTATTAAAACGCCTCAAGGAAATCATGGAGGGGAAAAGCCAGGTACTCTCTAGGGGGTTTAGAAGATTTTTATTAAATACTTATATGGGGCTTATGCCATACTCACTAAAAATGGCATGATGCTACTCGACTCGAAAGAATGTTCAGCTAGTACTTCCTCCAGTTACGAACACATTTTTAATTCAATTTCTTAACTTTAATTTATCATTTTTCTCCCCATTATGGTAAGTGCTTTTTGTTATAAGTTAGCGCTTTTCTGTTGAAGAAGTATTTGTTTAGCCCAGATTGTCTTTCATGGTTTCTTCAAGAAACTTTATAATTCATGGGAAGTTTTGGGGTCAAGCTTTTTTTTTCTCACAGAGGTCTAATTGGACCAAACACCATTTTTTTTGTTTGTTTTATTTTGTTTTGTTTTTGCTTTTTTGGAAAAGACCATGCTTCACTGATTGCATTATAAATCTTGTCATAAGTCCATATACGTGTGTGAGGGTGTGCCGGGCTCTCTTTTCTGTTCTATAGCTCCATTTCTTTTCCTACCCTTGAATGAATTTTCTGTCTAAAATTACTATAGTTTTAGAATAAGTCTTGATGGACAGTAATATAAGTCCTTCAATTTAAGCCTTGTTTAAGGCTATTTTAAGGCTTAAGGTGATTTTGATCTTTTTCATTCCCATATGAATTCTTGAAATAGGATGTCAATTTCTGCAGAAGAAACCTTATAGGATTTTGATTAGCATTGCACTTTTCATTGCATCTTTTCATATTTTCAGTTTCACATATTGTTACTGTTACAGGATAGCGACCTGAAGCAATACTGGATGCCAGATAGCCAATGTAAAGAATGCTATGACTGTAGTGAGAAATTTACGACCTTCAGGCGCAGACACCATTGCCGACTGTGTGGGCAGATTTTTTGCAGTCGTTGCTGTAATCAAGAAATCCCTGGAAAATTTATGGGCTATACAGGTAAATGCACTTTATTGACAGTTTTGCAGTTTTTAAAGGTCATAACTATAAAATAGTTATAATACAGGACTGTTGTGAAGCCAATTTTTATTTTGGGTTTCATGTGTGGGACATGAGGAACACAAAAGTGGGGGAGATACAGCTTTGCTTTAAAGGACTTTACAGTCGAGTAATAAAGTAGCTGGAGAGGTTCATAAATAGAGTAAAAGATAGTGTGTCATAGATGCTAGCAAAAAACCATAGGAGCAATAATATTTATTAGACAAGGTGGTTAGGATAGATTACTAATATATATTACTATGAGAATTTTCATTTTATAAAATGTAGATCATCCTTGAGTTATAGGACACCTTGCTTAGCAAACTGCATCTTATTCATATTTTTTCATAAATTTATCAGTATGGAAATTTTAAATTATTTAAATTATTTGTTGAAGCAGAAAATACCAAACAATGGTATGTGGATTTACACAGTGCTTTGGGAGTGGAAGGTGGGCAGAAGTTACCAAAAGGAGAATACTCTTTGTATCTCTCAAATTATTTTTGTTGCCATGCAAATCTTCCTCTTAGCCTTACTCACTCCCCCTGCCCCCCAGCTGCTAGAGTTCAGAGCTCAATTATCTTTCATCAGGATTATGGCTGCAGCCTTTAGAAGAATTTTTTACCTTTAGTTTTTCCCTACTTCTAGTTCCTTTTCCACACTCTGGTTATTATTCTTTGTTAAATGCCAATTTGATCATATTGGGATATTACCTGCCTAAAACCCATTCAGAACTCCCGTTACCCTTAGGATAAAATCCTGTCTTGTTAATATGGTTGTCGTGTTAGTTTCTCAGGGCTGCCATAACAAAATATTAAAAACCGAGCAGCTTAGAACAACAGAAATTTATTTTCTCAAAGTTCTGGAGGCCAGAACTACAATAATAGCTCTCACTGCACAGGTCAGAGAACTAATGTAGGGATTCTTCCATTTACTGAGTATGTTTATTCCAACCATGTGTTTTAGAACTGACTGGTAGACTACAATAAAATTTTGGGTCTCCTGAAATGAGAGCCAAGTCAAGCAATCCCTCAAAGGTTTGACTGTTAACCTTTTTCTTAATGCACAGTCACCCTTTGGGGAAGGGTGGTACATATATTAACAGTGTTAAGTTTTTGGCAGTGTAATGAGGTTTTTTTCAAGGGGACCTAGCCTCCCTGCTTCATTCAAGGAATTCTTGGTCTGTAAATGGCTCAATTCTGAGAATTAATTGGGAGATCATGACTGTTTTTGATTTAAGTTAGACTACTGTCCACTTATCCTGGAGTTTGTCTTATACAAATCTAGTAAAAATTTAGTAGACTGCCCATTGACTTCACTTCTGGGAGTACCATGATCAATGCCATGGTCGCTACAAGTCAGATTATTCTGAATCCTGTGTTGACTCTACTGTCTATTATAGTATCCGTGCCCATCTTGTCATTGGTGATTAGGTGCGGCCATTCTGCGTGTGCCACCCTAGGATCTAATGGTCTCCATTGCATTTAGGTTTTTCAATTCAGTGGAAGCAGTTCCCACTGTAATTTCTTTTCTTTCTTTTTTTTTTTTTTTTTTTAAGATTTTATTTATTTGACAGATCACAAGTAGGCAGAGAGGCAGGCAGAGAGAGAGAGGGGGAAGCGGGCTCCCTGCTGAGCAGAGAGCCTGACACGGGGCTTGATCCCAGGACCCCGGGATCATGACCTGAGCCGAAGGCAGAGGCTTTAACCCACTGAGCCACGCAGGCACCAACCCCCTCCCAACTGTAATTTCTGACCTACAGAGAAGAGCGACCACAAAGCTCTACAAGGATCCTGGGGTTCCCCTCACAAATTTATTTCTCATGGTCACGAAAGGTGTATGCTCTAGATCTTGCTGGGGTGAGTGAGCAGGTGTTACTTGGTAAATCCTTTCTTAACATTTAACATCCCTAATTCTTTGGATCCCTTCCTTCATAATACACCAGGTTAGTTCTGGCCTTTCAGCCTCTTAAAGTATAGGCCACTTTTGGTCCATGTTTTAGCCAGTCAACCAACAAGACTGTTAGAGCCCTCTTTACCCCTCATGCTATGGTTTTCAATTCATAATCTCTATTTAGTGGGCTCATATCAATAAATTCAGCTGGCTCCTACTTTATGTTCTCTCCACTGTATCTCCTATATCTTACAAGGTAGAAAACTCAGGCCATTTTGGATTTCTCAGGCAAATCAGGGTTAATCTCCTCTGACAGATTGCAAAGGCTAAGAAAGGTAAAGAAGACTTAGCAGAATTTTTCGGGGCTTCATTCCCCAGCTTCATCAGGATCTTGCCATATATCTCCATTCTACTCTTCAGGATTCCATTCCTTTCTAATCAGTGCCCTCATTTTCACAGCAGTCATACTGCAAGATTAAGGATTCTCTGTGTGTTGTGATTCAGCCACTTGCAGGATGAAACTCTTAGTTTGATTTTTAGTTCTGTGGCTATAGGAGATAATGATTTCTCTCAGGGAAGACATAGAAACTTCCAGGTAATTTGTACATTTGGGAATTTGAATTCCTGAGGTCATCCTTCCTGTCCACCTCCCCACTTTGTCTAGTACAATTAGGACCAACCAGTCAGTCTCATTTGCTAATTTGACAAAAATATTCTAAGATATGAGGGCCACCTACTTTATGGAGGGTAATTTATTTAAAGTCAATAGATTGTATATGTTAATCATAAATTAATCAAAACCCTTCACAGTAACAAGGAGACTACTATTTGGCCAACCAACCAGTCTCTCCAAGTTGACACATAAAATTAACCATTGCAAATATAATAATACATGTTGGGCACTTGTACAATGTAGCCTCGAATAAATGTAAAGTACTTAGAATAATGTATGGCACATGGAAAAGGTTGAATGTATATTAAGCAGTTATTGGTGGTAGTAGCATTAATATCTCTACATCCGTCAGGCAACTTTTTAATTATATGTGTGTCTTTCACCTCAGTGGAACACAAGGTCTTTGGTGGCAGAGCTGTTTCTCCTCAGTCTTTGTTATACAATCACATAATTAAGCATGTGTTCAGCAGATACTTGATGATGAAATTTCTTCATGAAATGAAAACTTTTCAGTTCAGTCTTGGCTGAGTTCTGACCGTCTTCATTCTAATAGCTGACTGGTAAAGGGAGATTTCTTTATAGTAAGAAACAAACCAAGCCTTTGTCGTGGGAACTTAGAGACCTTTCTGCAGGATGTCATTTCACTTCCTTACTGTAGTTCTGCTTCTCTGGGCTGGTGGTGATTTGTCCAGACACTCTCATTTACCCCAGACTGGGTTCATTTTTTTTGGTCCTGATTGAAGTGGATATAGTTTTCTTTAGTTTTAGTATATTTCATCTGTTGAATTGTGGCATCAGAAATAACTAATGCAACAAGTGATACTTAATTTTGTGTAAAATCTAGGCATAGTTTAACAAAACTGAGGACTACATAGTTGTAGTCTTAAAATGGAAAAACGCCCTAAAACTATCTAACATAATTATACTTGGTTGTAATTATGGTAAAAACAGTACCATTGCCTTTAAGAACGTATATAAAATCTGAAATTGTTTCTTTTAAAAATTAGTAATTCCCTTTCAATAATTCAGATTCCAGTATTGATTAAAATCTTATTACTAACTGATGAAATTTTTTGAGTTCATTTTTCCCCCTCATTCTGAATGTTTTCTCAATAAATTCTGGCCTTCTAAAATAAATTTAAAAAAGAAATCTTTTGTTCAAGTCCCATCAGTTTTCTAATGTTAATTGTAAAAAAAATTAAGGTGGAATTGTTAAATAACATGTGTTTGTAAAGTTCAGTTATCTGACTTTTTTTTTAGTACAGTAAACTTACAGAATCACACAAGTAGCTGTTATAGAAAAACAGGATGGAAATGAAAACTTCTGTTTGGGCTGGGCTGTGACCTTAAACAAATGACAACATATGAAAAGTATTAAATAACCTTGTTGTTTGTCCTCTGAAGAACATTTCGTTGCCAACTCAACTTTCACCATAGGAATTTCTTTAACAGTTCCCCAGCTACTTCACAGGGTCTGTAAGCCCATTTTGTATTTGTTTGTTTCTGAGATAGTGCCCCCTTGTGGAGGCTGCTCTCAGGGTTTCACAACAGAGACTTGCAGGACATTTTCCTCCTTGCCCAGGGAAAACACGTTGTTTCTCTTTGTATTGCTTTATTTACTCTATTCGAAACAGTTTTTTTCTTGAACTTACTGTCCCTTATTTCATTTTTAGAACGTTGAAAAGTTTATTTTTTCGAAAAATACTCTTTTTTTTTTTTTTAGTATCATTGGGTGCTATTTTCTTAACTCATTAATAAATTTTGAGGTTATTTGAATGACTGGATGAATTTATCATAATGATGGTTTTTAAAATATATAAATGAACCAAAAATTATTTTGCATTGTGAAAAGATCTTTTTTGGTAGTCTTTACTGGAAGACATTTTCCTGTAACCTGAAAAACTATTAACCCAATGACTTAATGTGTTTTGTTAAGTAACCTGTTGTCATTATTTTTTAAGTTCATTTTCTTGTTTTGTTTTCCTTCCTAGGGGACCTCCGAGCTTGTACATACTGTAGAAAGATAGCTTTAAGTTATGCTCATTCCACAGACAGTAATTCCATTGGGGAAGACTTGAATGCTCTTTCTGATTCTGCTTCCTCTGTGTCTGTACTGGATCCAAGTGAACCTCGAACACCTGTTGGAAGTAGAAAAGCTAGCCGCAACATATTTCTAGAGGATGATTTTGCCTGGCAAAGGTACTATCACTTAAGTACAATTTTATTTATGTTTGAGAAATACAGATAGTCTTGTGACCTGGGGCTGCCTTCAGTTTATTTTTATCTTCTTTGAATTATTTTCTATATATTCTCCTCCTTATTCTTTGGAATGTTTATGGGTAGTAATTATAGTGACTAATTAGAACCTAAGCTGTACAAGAGAAGAGACTTTATATTGTTCTTGTTCACTGTTCTACCTGCTGGCACCAAGAACAGTGTATGGTATATATCTTGATATTTGTTAAAAAGGAAACAGAAGTTATTGAGATGAATAATTTCTAATGTAGCCTTCATAGAGAAGGAAAATGCCCATAGACTTTGTATTCATAATATTTGTAAATGAGGGGTGCCTGGGTGGCTCAGTCATTGGGTGTCTGCCTTTGGTTCAGGTCATGATCCCAGAGTCCTGGGATTGGCCCTGCATCGGGGTCCCTGCTGAGCAGGAAGTCTGCTTCTCCCTCTCTCACTTCTCCTGCTTGTGTTCCCTCTCTCCCTCTGTGTCAAATAAATAAATAAAATCTTAAAAAACAATTGTATATGAAATTAGATCTTTTTTCCTCCCTAAGGAACCTTTCATGTTTTTCCATAGGTTTAAATTTGCTACTTCCAGTTGCCTGCTGGTGAAGGATGTTACTAACTCTTGGTAGTTACACGGAATTGTTTGAATTAGAATCCTAGATTCATCAGTTTCTGATTTTTTTTTTTTAAGCTAAGTTATATTCTTATGTATAATACTAAATCTAGTCATATGAGAGAGCTTAGAGTTTTAATTAACCCCCTTCTGATAAGTTGTTTTATCAATCACCCTTAAAAGTGTGAGGAAGTAATAGGCAACTAATTTAAATAGAAGTCAAGAATGAATTATAGCTACCTTCTACATATATGACTCTTAGGGACATAATGTGGAGCAGAAAAGAAAGTCACAGAGGTGTATACAACGATTGTTTATGATGTTCAAAAATACATAAAACAAACACACTGTCTAGGTTTACAGATGTGGTAACTTAAAGAGAAAGAAGGGAGGGGATGATAAGTATAAAATTGATAATAGTCATTTCATTGAGGGCCCAGAGGGGAATGGAATTGGGTAAGGAAATAACACGCATTTCAGAGTTAGTGCTGATGGTACATTGTTATTTGTGGTGTCATAATTCTTTATAAATTACGTGTATTTTATAAATTTTAAAAATTGATTCTACATTTAATAGAACAGTAAAAAAGTATAGGGATTCTCAGTTCTTTCTCACTTTAGTTAGTAATCCCTTTTAGTTGTGTTTGGCCCTATTGCGTGAGCCCAGAATTGGCAAGTGTCCTCTAATAAACTAGATTTGAAATCTTCCTGAGAAATGTAGGATAGATGTCAGAGGTAGAATAATGTGGCAGTTGTTTCATGTTCATTCTCTTTTAGTTATCATATCTCTTGGATAGGCACCACTTTCTCCTTTTGATAGATGTAGAAGCTGAGGTTTAGAGAGATTAACTAGTGGACCCAAGGTCAAAAGCTAGTAAGAAGGAGAGCCTGCACTTGGTCATACATCTGACTCTGCGGTGCTATTTAAGTGGGCTGTGGGGACTGAGAATAAAATACTTGAACTCAGGGTTTCTCCCCCAAATCATTTCAATTTTGTATATGACGGATGTAGGAGTTCTGTAAGTACCCATCCAACCGGCATTATTATTTTAAGGACTCACTGTATACTTAATAAGCTACCAGCCTTTTGGCAGTTGATGTAGTTAATATAAAAACTATAGTTTCTATCTTAATAAAAAGAAGAAAACAAAACTAACCCCTAATCTTATTATTGCAGGGGAAAACAATCAGCTTTTAAATGTTAAAGCACTTCACTGAAAGTGGATTTGCTTGTTACTGTCCCAAATCATCTCAGTATTTTTCTATTTCTTTGTAGTTTGATTCATCCAGACTCTTCAAATACTCCTCTTTCAACAAGACTTGTATCTGTTCAGGAGGATGCTGGGAAATCTCCTGCTCGAAATAGGTAAGCTGCCAATGAAAACTCCATGTTCTGTATTTGATTTTTCTTTCTTTCATGGCAATGAGAAGAGCAAACAGATAAAAATGGGGTGGGATTGATTGTTACACTTTCTTAGCTCTAAAATCTGAATTAAACTATTGTTTTTCCATTTGCTAGTCAGCTCTGGCTTGCATTCTTTTCAGTGTCTCTTTTCCAGTATTCTCTGCTGGCTTCAGATCTCCACTGGCTTTCTCCTAGCTCAGCAGATGGCCTTATTTTCTATTGTAGAGTGAAGAGGGCAGCTAACAAATAGGCACTTACTCAACTCTTAACCGCCATTTACAAACCTGATTACGTTTAGAGCTCATCTTTTTTTTTTTTTTTTTCTACCTCTTATCTAAGCTAATACTCCATTTGTATTCTGGATCCCATCCTTTTTCATTTTTTATTAATTATCCTGTTGATAATTAATGTTGTACCTTCTACCTCTCATTGCTGACTCCTCACTATTAGCATTTAAACAAACTCAGGTCACCTATTAAAAACAAACAAAAATTTCTTCTTTATGGTTCATCTCTCTTTACCTATATTCTCAGTTATTTCTTTTCTTCTTAGCCAAATTCCTTGAAATAGTTGCCTGTAATCATTCTACACCTGCACACTTCCTCCTCCTTTTTCAACTTACTAGATCTTACTGATGTCCACACCTCTTCACTGAAAAATGCTTTCCTTTTTACAAGTTTAAGTGGTGACTAAGTAGTTCTTAACCTGAAGAACTAGAGATCTGAATGACCTTGGTTTAACACACTTTCAGTTCTTTCTACAAGTATTATTAAGTACCTAGAAACCAGCTATGTGTAATACAGCAGTGAATCAAACAGTCAAAAATTTAATGCTCAAAAAAGCAATAAGGCATATGGGTAGAGATTGACATTTTAAAATTGTGTAGTCAGGGAAGATCTCACGGGGAAGGTGACATTTGAGCGAAGGCCTGAGGATATGAGGGAATGAGCTGTGTGAACATTTAATAGAAGAGTGTGCCAAGAAAACAGGAAGTAGCGAATTCCTAGAAGGAACATAGCTGGCAAAGAGTAATAAGTAACAATATTCTACCTGGAGTAGAATATTCTTATAGTTAATTGTAGGCCTTTGTCATTTACTCTGGGTGAAGTGGGAAGCTACTAGAGAGAGTTTGAATTTTTAAAACACTTTTAAAATTATTTTGAAAAAATTTCAAATTTGTAAAAAGTTGTAAGAGTAATTAATATATTCTCTATTAAGGTTCACTAATTTACATTTTCCCATTTGCTTTGTTACTATTTATATAATAGACTTTTTTTGAGAATAAGTTGCAGACATCAGGATCTTTTACCTTTTTTAAATTAATAAACTTCATTTTTTAGAGCAGTTTTAGGCTAATAGCAAAATTGAATAGGGAGTACAGAAAATTCATATATACCCTCTACCCTCATAACCTCCTTCATGATCAGTATCCTGTATCATAGTGGTACATTTGTTACAGCTGATGAACAGCTGTTAACATATTATCCCTCTGTATTGATACATTATCACCCAAAGTCCATAATTTACGTTAGGGTTCACTCTTGGTGATGTGTATTCTGTGTTTGGGACAGATGTATAATGATGTGATATCCAATGTTGTAGTAAACTGTAGTTTCACTGCCTTAAAAATTCTCTGCTCTGGGGTGCCTGCCTGGCCTTCGGTTAAGCATCTGACTCTTGATTTTGGCTCAGGTCATGATCTCAGGGTGTGGGGTCTCTGTGCTCAGTGTATAGTCAGCTTGCCCCTCTCCCTTTTCCCTGTTTGTGCTCACCCCCTCCCTCTCTCAAGTAAAAAATTCAATAAATAAATAAAATCTTTAAAAAGAAAATTCTCTGTGCTCTCTTTATTCATTTCTCACTCCCACCCAACCCATGGCATAGCCACTGACCTTTTTACTATCTGCATAGTTTTCCCTTTTCTAGAATGTTGTATAGTTGGACTCATTCAGAATGCAGCCTTTTCAGATTTGTTTCTTTCACTTAGTAATATTCATTTAAGGTTCCTTCATGTCTTTTCATGGCTTGATAACTCTTTTTTTCAGCATTAAATAATATCCCATTGTCTCGATATACCACAATTTATCCACTTACCTACTGGAAGATATTTTAGTTATTTCCAGGTTTTGGCAATATGAATAAGGCTGCTATAAAAGGTTTGTGTGCAGGTTTTCATGTGGTCATGTATTCAGTTCCTTTGCATAAATACCAAGGAGTATGATTGCTGGATCACAGGCAGAGAGTATGATTAGTTTCATAAGAAGTTGCCAAACTGTCTTCCAAAGTGGCTGCACCATTTTGGATTTCCTAAATGGAAGAAGAAGAATTGGAGATGGGAGTTGTGCTATAGTGAAGGGGGGAATGTCCCAAGGGAATGTGGAGTTAAGACAATTTTTTTTTAAAAGGTGGGATGAATTACAGTATTTCTTTTGGCATTGTACAAATGGGGAAATAGCTGTGCTAATTTACAGTGTAATTCCATCTGTTTTGAATTAATACTATGATTGATGTAAATCTTTGGGAAAGGTAAACTTTCTAAATAAAAGTTTAACCAGCATTCTTAATGCTAGGCTACTTATTAGAGTATTTGATATCAGGGGTGCCTAGGTGGCTCAGATGGTTAAACTTCTGCCTTCAGATCAGGTCATGATCCCAGGACCCTGGGATCAAGCCCTTTGTTGGGCTCCCTGCTCAGCGAGGAGCCTGCTGCTCTCTCTCCCTTTGCCTGCTGCTCCCCCTGCTTGTGCTCTCTCTTGTTGCCTCTGTCAAATGAATAAAATCTAAAAAAAAAAAAAAAGTATTTGACAATGAATGTGACTAATTTTTTTTTGTTTTTGTTACTGCCATATCAGGATATGTGCAGGGATAGTTAGAATGTTAGAGAAGCAAAACACAGGGATAATACAATCATTGGAAAAGTGATTCTATTTTATTTATTTATGTATTTATGTATTTATTTGAGAGAGAGGGCATGAGGTCAGAGGGAGAAGCACACTCCCCGTGGACCCATGAGATCATGACCTGAGCCAAAACCATGAGTTGGATGCTCAGCTGGCTGAGCCACCCAGGCACCCCAAAATTATTTTAAAAGTATCTTTATCTTCATGCTAGGGGGAGTATAGTTTTTTAGTTGGCACCTGGTTTTGAATGGCAGGCAGCCTTGCTGTTAGTTGAGTTACCTTAGATGAATAACTTAATCTCTGATTCTTGATTTCTTTATTTGTAGAATGGAGTTAGTAGTACCTACTCTATAGTATGCTGTGAAAATTATTATTTTTTAAAGATTTTATTTATTTATCTGACAGAGATCACAAGTAGGTGGAAAGGCAGGCGGTGGGTGGGGGGAGCAGGCTTCCCGCTGAGCAGAGAGCCCAATGTAAGGCTTGATCCCAGGACCCTGACATCATGACTTGAACTGAAGGCAGAGGCTTACCCCACAGAGCTACCTAGGCACCCTTGCTGAGGCTTGATCCCAGGACCCTGACATCATGACTTGAACTGAAGGCAGAGGCTTACCCCACAGAGCTACCTAGGCACCCTTGCTGTGAGAATTAAATGAGTTTATTGCCTAACTCATTGTAGAAGCTTCTGCCTTTTTATCCTTTATATAGAAGCTAAAATTTGGTTTCATTTTTTTCAAAGCAGATGCTAACTAAAATTTCTATCTCCAATTTTTTAATAAATAAAAGCTTGCTTGATGCTATTGACATTCCACTTACAAGTCATTTATCTAGTAACTTTGCCCAGAGGCAAAATTAAGGATGTTATATAAGTAATAATATATTAAGAGAGGAAACAAACTTTCACTCATTTTTTAATGATCAAATTCAAAGTATGATTGAGGATAACAATGCAGTTCTAATAAGAAGAAAGGAATTATTTTGGGGGGGATAACATTTGCTTAGCTGGGGTTCAAAGTTAATGTTTTCTCTTACCAGAACATTATAGATATTCACCTAAAGACATTTAGGTGTTTCATTGGTTATGCAAAAACTAATTGGTCTGTGGGCCAAAGTTTCCTGTTCCTGATCTGCAAAATTCCTTCCCTCCTTACCTTCTTTCCTTCCTTCCTTCCTTCCTTCCTTCCCTCCTTCCTTTTTAAGATTTTATTTGTTTATTTGTAAGAGAGAGTGAGCACACAAGCAGGGGGAGTGGCAGAGGGAGAGGGAGAAGCAAGCTCCCCACTGAGCAAGGGAGCCTGACCTGGGGTTCCATCCCAGGACCCTGATATGACCTGAGCCTCAGGCAGATGCTTAACTGACTGTGCCACCCAGGGACCCCTGCAAGATTATTTCTGCATTTAGTCTGATTCTTCATATTTGTCAGTTAAAACAAAAATAATAACACTAGTTTTCAGCATTTTAACAAGTTTATATTCTTTTCCTCTGAAATATTACTGCTAAGTATACTGTATTTACCATTGCTTTCCTAATCTCTCCATAGCAGCTTTGCTTTTCACTTATTCTGAAATAGCTTCTACCAATGATGATATCATACGTAAGCATAATAATTACATTTAAAAGTACCCTTAATGTTGGCAAGTAAACATTTATTTATTTATTATAAAGATTTTATTTATTTACTTGAGAGAGAGAGAGAATGATTGAGAGAGCATGAGAAGGCAGAGGGTCAGAAGGAGAAGCAGACTCCCTGCTGAGCAGGGGACCCAATGTAGGACTTGGTCCTGGGACTCTAGGATCATGACCTGAGCCAAAGGCAGTCACTTAACCAAATGAGCCACCCATGAGTCCCAGTAAGCATTTATTTAAAAATGAATTTTCACTGTAATTTTATTTATTGATGAAGAATTTACAACTGTGTATTCACTTTTTGTTTCTATTTCCAGATCAGCTAGCATTACTAACCTGTCACTGGATCGATCTGGTTCTCCTATGGTATCTTCATATGAGACATCTGTCAGTCCCCAGGCTAACAGAACCTATGTTAGGACAGAGACCACTGAGGATGAACGCAAAATTCTTCTGGTACTGGTCTAGTATCTTTGCTATTTTTAAGAAACCTATCAATAGTCAGTTAGCATATAAATTAAGAGAGGAAATAATTATCTTAAGTTTTTATTAAGATCACCTAAGAAAGTGGTGAAGCATTCAGCACTCTTATATTGCATTAATATTTTCTTGATCCCTTTCATCTGGTAAGATAAGAATTGAGGTGCTTACATAGTAAGAGAGCTGAACTTTTAGTTAGGTCCCAGATTGTTTTTAAACTTTGAAATATGTTTCTCATACACATAGAATGCTTTGCATACCTTTCTACTGTATGTTTATGTGAGATGGTTATCAGTTGGTTATAGACTTTATGTAAGTGTAAAATATTGTATTTAGTCCCGAGAGTGACTCAAAGAAATGGAAATTGGCTCCTGTCCTCAAGGTAAAAATTCAAAAGGTAGAAATGAGGCCGATGGTCAGGTCCTTAATAGTAAAAAAGCAATACTTTATTGATAAGACATAGGAAGATCATTAGTGGTGAGGGCTTTAAACTGAAAGCCTTGGCCTGAACCTTGAAGAACAGATGGATTTGGGCAGGCATTGAGGAAAACAACTCTTATTTAAAGGTATGACAAAGTATAGAGGTGAAAATAAGCATGACATTTTCCATGCACCAAAGTAGGATTTATTAGTTAGGAGAGGTTGGGAGAGAGAGTAAGCTGGAGTCTGTGGGCAAAGAGATTAAGCTGGAGTGCGTGGGCAATGAGAATGGAAGTTACTTGGGGTTACCTTGTAGAACATGGTGAGTTCAGCCTTTACAAGTTTAGATTTGAACCCAGGTGCTGAGCAATGTTGGGAGTTTTGTTGAGCAGGGAGTCATTCACTGAAGGCCTTCCTTTAGGAAGATTCACTGGGCAGTTGTTGGGGACAGGTCAGAAAGGTGGGAAGCTGCTGGAGTGAAGGCTACAAGAAACGGATTGGAGGGCGCCTGGGTGGCTCAGTGGTTAAAGCCTCTGCCTTCGGCTCAGGTCATGATCTCAGGGTCCTGGGATCGAGTCCCGCATCGGGCTTTCTGCTCAGCAGGGAGCCTGCCTCCTCCTCCTGTCTCTCTCTGCCTGCCTCTGCCTACTTGTGATCTGTCAAATAAGTTAAAAAAAAAAAAAAAAAAAGAAACGGATTGGAGCGGTTGACTGTTCTCCCCTCTCCCTTGCCCATCTTCAAAGAGGAGGTTTTGCAGTTTTGTACTTTGATAACTAGGAGACTGAGCATATGTGCCATGGACTGGGAAAAATTATTTGGGGTAGGTGTTTTTATTTTCTTCCCTAAAGATTTTATTTATTTGAGAGAGAGAGAGCACACAAGCTGGTTAGTGGAGAGGAGTGGCAGAGGGAGAGGGAGAAGCAGGCTCCCTGCTGAGCAGGGAGTCCAACATGCGGCTCGATCTCAGGATCCTGGGATCATGACCTGAGCTGAAAGCAGCTGCATAACCGACTGGCCTCCGAGGTGCCCTGGGATAGTTGGTTTTAAGAGAAAAAGTTACATCTGCAATCAGATTAACTGAGTTCAAGCTGCTCCCCATGCATGTGTTATTTCTATTAGATGGTGTGAGTTGGCTCTGACAATCTGTATTGAATTTCCTTTTAGGCATCTGAAAATCACAGGAAAGAATCTGCAAAGGTATGTGATAGCATCCTTCTCAGGAGTAATTATTTGCTCATAATGTGATTTCAGGACAGCGTTCAGTTAAAGGACTTGTGGAAGAAAATCTGCCATCACAGTAGTGGAATGGAGTTTCAGGATCACCGTTACTGGCTGAGAACGCATCCCAATTGCATTGTGGGAAAAGAATTAGTCAACTGGTTAATCCGAAATGGACACATTGCTACGAGGTAATGTGATCTTAAGAAAGACTTTTTGATATTATTTATTGCTTTATTTTTAATAAGGCCATGATGTTGTAGATATAAGGGCAGCAGATTTTAAGACTAGGGTGCTGTTTGTTTCCTGCGTTTGGTGCATAGGGTGCTTATGACTCACCCCTCCTCCCTTCTGCATTTTAACCAGTAGTAAATAGATGCAAGGAGCAAATGGGGCACAGTTTTCCTTATTTATTATAAGCAGAAGTATGCAGTAATTCCCCAGCAGTAAGCTCTCTGATTAAGCAGGATTTGGGAATGTAACTAGGTATTGAGACCACGGTGGATTCTCCTGCTACTGTTCTCTGATCTGGACACTGCAGTCTATGGAATTGAGTTCCTAAGTCCCACTTGGAGTGTCTTGCTCGGCTCAGGAATCGTTTGTGAGAAAGAGACGGACAGGCCCTATTGCCTTTCAAGGCAGCATGTCCCTAAGCTATTCTAGTTGATTAGATTAACTACTCCTTTCCTGGGAAGAAACAGGTAAGTAGGAAGAGAGAGTAGAAACCCTGGGGTCCAGTTTGACGGTATTTCTTTTTAGTTTTATGCTTTTACTCAAGTTATTTAATCTCTTTTGAACCTTGGACCTCTCAGTTTCAATGTGAGGAGAATATATAGGTGCTGTGAAGAAGCTGTGAGGATGAAATGAAGTAATATGGGCTAAAGTGCTTTATAAATTGTGAAATGCCGTGTAAGTGCAGTGTGTTGAGTGTCTGTTTCATCTATTAAGTGTCTATGTATTATTATTATTTTTAAAAGTTTTCTTTCTTTATTTGAGTGTGAGTGAACATGAGCAGGGGGAGAAGCAGATGGAGAGAGAAAGGGAGAGGCAGACTCTCCACTGAGCAGGGAGCCCGATGTGGGGCTCAATCCCAGGACCCTGGGATCATGTCAGACACTTAACCGACAGAGCCACCAGGGCGCACCTTAAGTGTCTATGTATTACCATATATGTTTAAGTATCTATTTTGTACATATATGAATATATATCTGTAATATTTGGTATTGTCTTACCAAGACCATAAGCTCCTTGAGGGCAGGAGCCATGCTAGTTTCACCATTTTGTTTTACTATAGTGAGGACAGAGATATGCATGTACTGAGCACTTCTTACATGTTTGTTGTAAGTAAAATTAGGTTTTGCTAGGACTGCCTTACCAGCAGCTTCTCCTTTACCTGGTATCTGGCAAAATCTTTCAATTCAGCTTCAAGTCTCACTTGTTTTACCCCTCACCTATTGACCGACCATTTGTAATTCCAGCTGGTTAAAATGGAAGAAAATTCCATTTGCGTCTCATCTTGTGCCTGTGAAATTACTCTGACTTTTTAGTTTTTATTTTTGTTGGTCTTCATTCAGGGCACAAGCTATAGCCATCGGACAAGCAATGGTCGACGGACGTTGGCTGGATTGCGTCAGTCATCACGACCAGCTTTTCAGGGATGAGTACGCGCTGTACAGACCACTGCAGGTAGTTTTCCGTGTCATCGCTGATGAGTTGGGAAGTCTTGTCTTCATCGGTGGGAATAAATAGTCGTTGAATTAGAGATACATTTTCCCTGTTGTTTGAAAGTTACAAACATTTTTACTTGGTTGGTAGGGGTGATGAAAAACCTGTTGGAATCAGACAGTTTCCAGTGCGTTTGACTTTTCTGAAGCTGGACCTTGTGGTGATATAGTTGCCTGTCATTTACCTTTAATGGTTTTCAGTTTCACTATGTCTGTGTTTTCAGGACTAAGAGAGAGTATACATAATAAAATGATAGAAAAAGTATCACCGATGCAGTAGATTTTGACACATTACCAGTATTAAATTGTATAGCAGTGATAAAACAATGATGATGTATATATCTTTTTCCTTTAATTAGGGAATAGAAATGATTTAAAATAGAACTTTTTAAAAAGATAAGCTTTCACTTTTGGTTTACGTTAAATATATATATATAATGTTTAGGAATACCTTTGTGAACTAAAGTGGAAACTCAAAGGTTAGAAAAGACAAATGACCAAGAAGACTGGTGTGGTGTTGTTTGTTAAAATCTAACAGTTGTTTTCCAGAATGTGTCCTAGTGTTGGCACAGGATTAGAATAAATTCTGAGCCAGGTTTACTCTCAGGACTAAAAAGCATGAAATGAAACACTGTAAAATCTGCGTATTATGTTTTGCTCATATTAAGCTGCCTAAACCTACTGATTAGTGACAATTATAATGATTAGAGTGGAATTATCAACATTAATGCTGGTTTACTTAGTTTCTATCAGTTAGCTTATTTTTATGTAAATTTATTCAGTGGTTAGCTTTGTAGAAATATTGGGCTTGAGTTTATTTGTAGTGTTGCCATCAAAAGTTGCTACTGAATGTGAATTACTTGGATCTTGTCTTGATCTTACTAGAGTACAGAATTCTCCGAGACCCCTTCTCCAGACAGTGACTCAGTGAACTCTGTGGAAGGACACTCTGAGCCATCCTGGTTTAAAGACATAAAGTTCGATGACAGTGACACGGAACAGATAGCTGAAGAAGGTGACGATAATTTGACTAGTGAGTTTAAACTTTCTAATATTTTGATTTTTGTGACTCATTACTGTGTATGTATGATAAATGAGTGTCTTGTTTGTTTAGTTGAAACAATCGACTTTAAGTTTTATGGCACCAACTAAATGTAAACATCTGATAGCAATCTTTGTTCTAGATACAGTATTTTCTTAAGAAACCAACTTGTTAGGCTACTGGCGTTTTCAGATTTTGCCATAGTCTCTAGTTTGCAGCAGCTTAAAAATAACTCTGAGCTAATAATATCGCAGCAGACAACTTTCTCACCTCTTCACTATGATATCAGACTCTCTCTCTGCAGAACCTCCAATAGATTTCTCCATCTTAAAAATTCATCATATATTTAATGTGTTCCAATTTTTATTAAGTCTCCACAGAAGTACATGAAAATACTGTATCCATTTTGGTATTGCACATTGGCCTTGTCTATTAAAAGAACATTTTTCTCCTTTCCTCCAATACCCTGATGAAACCCATTTTTACTCCCCTCCTCTCCCTATATTTCTTTCCCCTCCCTGACACTAAAAGATTCTGCCAGTCCTAGCAAGCGCACATCAGTCAGCAGCTTCCAGTCCACAGTGGACAGTGACTCAGCCGCTTCCATCAGCCTGAACGTGGAGCTGGACAACGTGAACTTCCATATCAAGAAGCCCTCCAAGTACCCACATGTGCCCCCTCACCCTGCTGACCAAAAAGGTAGGAGGTAGTCACCATCTGGAATCCGGGCACAGGCTGGAGAGCTGGGCCACACGATCTCATGCCAGCCTATTTTCCTGGCTTCCCCTGTCCCATGTGGCGGAAGGGATTCAGTGTGGGTTTTGTTCCCCCTTTCTCGTTGTCCCCACACCGCCTCCCCACACTTTTTTTGGTTGGTTCCTTTTATTTCTCGTTTTCTCCCTCAGTACCACCACACCCAATTTAAAGCTTGTAGTCTTTAAAAGGAACTACATCTTTAAAAGGATCTACTACTACTGCTCTTCCCTTAGCATAATGTGCAACTTCCAAGGTGGTGTTTCTTTGCATTTATAACATGGATGTTCTGCTCTATTCATTTCTCTTTCTTTATCTAACATTTTAAAGCCTATTTGCTTATGCTATTAACCAGTAATATAGTATTTCACTAAACCTTTTTAGGTGCTCGAACTGTATTAGGGGGAAACACACAATACAAAACATCTTTCTACTATGATTTAAAATGTTTGCTATGGAAAGAACAGACTGAAGATGCACATTTCTTTCCTGATATCATTGTATTTTTTGCATGGTTTCTAGCCATGATGAAGCTTCTCACAGATGTTTGTCTGCCCGGAAGGATCGTGTCGATCAGACTCTCACACGTATTCCCAGGCCATGCAGTAGTTAGTTATATTTTCTGTTGTTAATAAATAAAATATCATTCTTTTGTCCAGCAAAAAAAATATGCTTGTGATGTATGTGCTGTATTTAAAAAAAAAGATTTCTCCTCTGAGTAATACAAAGTGAATTTGTTATTTTTAGTTGTCTTATATGAGGGTCTATTCTACTGACTCAAAAATAATAATGGCCATATTCAGAAGACATTTGGTATAAAAGGGAAAATAAGATAAATCATTACCAAAATCTAATACAGCAGTATATAAAAAATGAGATGCTTTTTATTTTTGTATTTTCATTTTATGTCATTTTTAAATTAACATATAATGTGTTATTTGTTTCAGAGGTACAGGTCTGTGAATCATCAGTCTTACACAATTCACAGCACACACCATAGCACACACCCTCCCCAATGTCCATCACCCAACAACCCCATCCCTCCCTCCTCCCTCCCCTCCAGCAACCCTCAGTTTGTTTCCTGAGATTATAAGTCTCTTATGGTTTGTCTCCCTCTCTGGTTTCTTCTTGTTTCATTTTTTCCTCTTTTCCCCTATGATCCTCTGTCTTGTTTCTCGAATTTCACATATCAGCAAGATCATATATGAAATGTTTTTTAAAAATGGATTTTGAGGTTTACCCTGTTGGATATAACTAACAGCCAAATTAAATTTTAGCCCTAAAGAGGCATTATGTAAAAGAAAATAAATGAAAAATATATAAGTAAGTAAGTAATTGTGAGATTTCATTATGTTCTAGTAACTAAAAAATCATTATAAAGATGAGACCATTTATTCCATGATTTCACCTGAATTTGGATTTTTAACAGCCCTCTGAAGTTGAATTCTTTCCTTAGATTGGAAATGCTTGTCTGATTTCCTTGCTACTTCCTATTTTGAGTCTAAAAATATGGTCAGAAAAGAGAAGCTTTTGAACCTAAACATCTATTCTAAAATAATTTGGAACAAGCTCCCATTTCTATAACAAATTTTTAATGGCTGTTGGTAGTAACCATTATCCTCAAGATGTGGTAAAAAAGCTTTTAAGGGTTACAGTAATGGTTGGGGGGGAAGAGAGAGGCAAACCATAAAACAGACATAAGTATAGAGAACAACCTGAGGGGTGCTGAAGGGGAGGTGGGCAGGGGATGAGCTAAGTGGGGAATGGGTATTAGGCAGAGCACTTGTGATGAGCACTGGGTGTTACATGTAAATGATGATCACTAAATTCTACTCCTGAAATTATACTATATGTTAATTAATTGGAATTTAAATAAAAAATTGAAACAACAAAAAGAGTTATAATAAAAAGGTATATCTTATTAAAAAAGAGAAATTTAGAGAGGATGCAGTAAAAGAGTAGGCTTGCCTAGTGTTGAACCATGAGTAAGATACGTATCTTTATGGGAATCCTCAAAACAAATTGTAAGCTTGGTGGAGAACATGGGTGAGTACGAAAGGACAGTGGAGTAGACGTGACACTTGGGTGAGATGAACTATAGTCTGGTTCCCTGGAGCATACTGGGTGATGCTTTTGTAATAGAAGTGACAGATATGGGTCAGAGGTGGCATCTGTTATGAGGGAGGACATCCTTTGGACACATGTGTTGGCAGTGCAGTTTCGTTTTGCTGAAAGTAGATCGTGAAATACATTTTTGACATGATGATTTTATGTCTTGGAAGATTAGGAAATTATGAAAACTGTGAAGAAAGTAACCTGTCATCATAGTATTTATAATAGCAAAAGACGGACTGCTGAGCACAGTCAGACAATTTGCTTAAGGGTGCTTGACTTCCTAATATTGGGAGAGGAATGGAACAGAGAGCTTCAATACTGACATTTGTACAGTACGATCTCAAATTGTATCCCTAAGGAAAATTAAAGGGGAAGCATCCACAGTTGAAAAAAAAGAATCACAGTGACTCTTCTGCAACCTCTCTGCTCTTAACCCTTTGTTTACTTTTTAGAGAGATTTTATTTATTTTTTAGACAGACAGAGAGAGCATAGGAAGGGGGAGCTGCAGGCAGAGGGAGAAGCAGGCTTCCCGCTGAGCAAGGAGCCAGATGCGGAACTCAATCCCAGGACCCTGGGATCATGACTTGAGCCGAAGGCAGAGGCTTTAACCAGCTTAGCCACCGAGGTGTCCCTGCTCTCAGCCCATTAAAAAGATTGTCTATAGAAGTTGGGAGAGGTAACTTTCATAGGAGGATGAATCCGAAAGAGGGGCCAGCACTTAAAAAAAATAAAAATGACAGGATAGCAGAAGTCCAGATTGCACTGATGGATGGAGTAAATGCCAAGAACATCTCAGAGAAGATTTTTAAAATTGTGGTTCAAAGAAAGAAAATCAGGGCAATAATATGGGGAAGGTGATATATAATATTAACTGAAGCTTCTCCTCCTCGCCCCCATCAAGATAATTTTATCAGGAAAGAATGTATATGGCTAAAAGGAAAGTAAAGTCCAAGATGATGAAGAGAAGTTAGAGAATACCTGATTATTTTAAATAAGTCTTTTGCCAGGTGCAGGCAAAATACATACCAGATTATTGAAAGAATTTAGAGCTGTGATCTTGGGGCCAGAGTTTGTTATCTTTGGAGAATTAAAAAGAAAAGGAAGGGGTTCAGATGATCATAGTGACAGAGGCAGTAAAATTTTGTAAAAAATAGGTTGTTGATTTGACTTTGGAAGTTGGTAAAATTGTAGAAAAAAATTAAGAGGATGTCCTGTGGTATTTAGAAAAGGGATTGGTGGTGACTGGGCACTGGTGTTGGTTAACTAAAATTAAATCTTTCCACAACAATCCCATTTCCTTCTTTCATGGTGGTATGAGATTGTCAGCTAAGGAGACTGTGGTAGAGACTGTTGTCTTTTATGTCAATAAGACATTTGATGGTCTCAGTAACCTTGTGGACAAAGAGGACAATTTCACACTTGAAATATGTTAAGGAGGAAGTTACAGGCAGTAGTTACATCTACCTTTTAAAAGCACAGGTTCTGGAGTTTCTGTGAGTCTACAAAAAGCACACATAGAGAGGTTATTCGTGTCTTTGGCGAATGTTAGAACTTCGTGATGTCACTGTTAATATAACATGTACTTTGTGTAATGGTTGTGCCAAATGTTCAAGGGGTAACCTGGTAGGAACAGGAAAGGCATGCTCATAGGTTATGCTGTAGGGCATACAGTTCCTGTGCGACCGAGAGACTCTAAAATCTAAGGCCTTTCTGAATCCCTTAATGAATGTTTCTGGCTTTCACAGTTCTCTCCTTTTTAGCATACTAAAAAGAATGGTTCTTCTTCTGTTTTTCTTGTGAATTTGAAGTACAATAATGTATTTTTTCTGCATTGTAGTTAACATTAACACTGATTACCAGAAAATAAAGATTGTCAGAGCCAACTGGTAGTGAGGCGAAAGAGTAGTAATATACCCTCTTCCTCTGGTTTTCCTTCCTTTTAGAGTGTAGATGGGAATGGGTGGTTCTTATCTTTTCCTGAAAGTTAAAGGTAATATTTATGAAATATTTTCTTAGGATTCATCCTTTATCTTCCAGGGCTGAGGAAATTTGGATTTCGAGAATTGATTGACATATCTGTATTTTTTTAAAAATCTGGTGTTTTTATCTTATGCAAGCAATCCCCACATTTTCATAAACTTGTAAAACTGGAACATTGCGATCTTCTTGCTTGATTAGTTTTTCACTATTGGTAAAACTTAGAGACTTGTACAACTAAAATACATTTTGTTGTGTGTTACAAGCAGGATTCTGAACCATTCTTGATTAAGTTAATGAGTAGAACCTAGAAAAGTGAGAATCATATAGTTTTTGTAAGCTTCTAGATCTAACTTCCCATGTGTAGGAAAAGCTATAGGAGCAAGTTAAACAGCACCAAATGGAAACAATCCAACTGACTTGAGAAAAATGGGACATTCCACAGGACATTTGGCCTGGGTTCTTTTAAAATTCAGTATCCTGCCAAAGTAAAAAGGTAGGAGGTTTGCTTTGGACCAAAAGAGAATAAAGGAAATCAGCATATGAACCTGATTGGATCCAGGTTTGAGGCAAAAAATTTATTAAAGCATTTTGGGGACAGTTAGATAAATTTGAAGAATATGCACGAATTTCATCATATTAAGACATTGTCAGTTTCTTTTTTTTCTTTTTTTTTTTTTTTGGAAGACATGGTCCATTTTCTTAAGTTTGTAAATGGTATTGTGGCTATACAGAAGAATGTCCTCATTTTTAAGAGATGTATGCTGAAGTGTTAGTGGTCAAGGGTCATGATGTGTGTAACTTCAAATGATTAGGGAAAATCCATACATATATGTAGAGAGAAATCAGATATGGAACGTTAACAATTGTTAAATGTAGGTGAAGGGGATATAGGATTTTCTGTATGTCTCAAAATCATTTTACACACACACACACACACACACACACTTAATCTTTAGTATGAAAAGTAAAGCTTGTAAAGCCAATAGGTTGGTTGAACAAACAGATTGGCATTATTCATTTCTGTGCAGGAGTTGTGGGAAAAAGGTACAACATCTGTTTTTATTTGTCCACATACATGATTTATTGTATTTGGCATCGTATACTTTGAATTTCTAATGTACAACTTTTTCTCTGCTTTTGTTCAAAGGATGAGCATATTGGCATATAAACAGCAGCTTCTGAAGCTCATTTGTTATATGAGTGAATTCTACTTGGGAAGAATTTTTTGGAGAACCTTTATTTTAAAAGGCTTAAAATACATTGTGGTTTCGTTTGCATAGTAGAAAGAACCTCACTTGAGTTACGCTTGGTCACAGATGCAAAGAAAAGTTCATGGGGAAGTAAAGAATAAGTTTCACTTGTGAGAAAAGTAATATTCTAAAATTCTAAACGAACACAGCCCGTGTTCAGTTATGGAAACTATTTGGCAGTGTTTGGTTAGAATTTTGAAAAACCCTAATTCGAAAGCACATAAAAATCCTGATGAGTTAAATCTTTATTCCCTGCCAGTATCACTTCTGTATTAATTTGCTTTATAGCATATAGTCTGAAATTTGAAAAAAAAAACCTATCTGTTTTTTCAGGTGGCTTCTCTATAAACTATTTTGTATATAGACAGAGTTATTTGTGAAATCGTACTGTTATACATGAGAAAAATAATGTAGATTTTTAGGCTTGTCATGCCTAAATTACTGAAGACCTCAATTTTCATACACTGGCTCAGCTTTGATAAGGGAAAAGCAGTCTGTTAAGGATTATCTGACATGACTGCTTCAAGGTTCTGTTGTTATTATTCAAGTCTATTAAGTCTGGTTTGAAGTGTATGGATTAAGGATAATGATGCATTTTAGTCTAAAACTCTCTTCAGTTGGCTGGGCAGTGTTGGGTTTAGTATGAGTCATACTTTGTGTGTAGGTGTGTTCTCTGTATAATTACGCTGGCATGTTGCAGTCATAAGTCTCTCCTTTTCTTCCTCCTCTGCTCTCTCCCTGGTATGCAGAGTATTTGATTTCTGACAATGGAGGACAACAACTCTCGATAAGTGACGCCTTCATCAAAGGTAATTCTATCAAAAGCTGTACATGGGACAGTGCGTCTTACTTGTGAGGGTATACTTAGGGCTTTGCATATTGTTGGGCACCTAACAAGTACTGAAAATAAATTCGGTTATTTTAGTACTATGGGAACACAGTTTTTATATGTATAGTAACTCGGAGGATGTTGGGAATGAAGAATATAAATTTGGACTTGGTTCGAAAGAAGATCTCTGATCTGAAAAGCAACTGTTTAAAAGCTTTTATAGAATTTAAATTTTATTCTTTGAAAGGCATAGTTTAATGCTTTCCAAATCATGAATATAAAATTAAGTATTGATATATATATCATCAAGGATTCTGAAACTTGTCCAGAAGCCCCCAGGGAGACGCTGCCTGCCCTGTGGAATTGGAAAGAGAAATGGGGAGAAGAGATAAAGAACTAACTTTGCCGATTGATTCCTTGGGGACAAGACACTATAGAAGAAGACAGCCTTTTCTGACACCTCCCTCCTTAGCTTACTGTGGAGTAAGGATGTTCTTAAGTAGTTCATAATACTCCACAGCTTAGACCTCAGTTAAGTTTTCATAACTTAGCAGTGTTTCTAAATTAATCTCTGAACATCTGGCTCAACTAGAAGTTTATATAGGCCAGCTGTTTACATAATTAAAATGTATAATTTTTTTGTACCTCGTATTGTGGACACATGCTTTGTAGTGCTGGACTGTTTAGCTGAAAGTTTTTTTGTTTGTTTGGTTTGCTTTAAGAGGGGGATAGATTAGAGAATTTTTGTAAGCATTTCCCGCTTTTTTCCATTTATTCAGTCACATTTTTCAGTAATTATATAGTGAGCATCCTTTTTGCAAAGCTTTTTTTTTTTTTTTAAAGATTTTATTTATTTGAGAGAGAATGAGAGCTATAGAGAGAGAGAGCACACACACAGAGGGCGAGTGGGAGAAAGAAGCAGACTTGCCGCCGAGCAGGGAGCCCGATGCGGGGCTAGATTGCAGGACCCTGGGATCATGACCTGAGTCAAAGGCAGATGCTCAGCCGACTGAGCCATCCAGTCGTCCCTCCTTTTTGCAAAGCTTTTGATATAATCTGTTTTTTGTCTAGATGCATTTTCATTCTTTTTAAAAACTTAAGTATTTTATAAAATTTTATGTAAATTGTTATGTTTTAATATTTCTTTATAGTTCATTGCTGGGTTTGATTTGTAGAGGTTTTGCTTTAAAAACGGCCTTTGTTCTAATATTGAGAAAGAAACACTATAAAGAATTATCAGAATAGACTGTCTACACTGTTGTGTACTCGCTCATACGTATCAGGACTGAGCTTTCCTCTTTAAAGTTCTGCACCCACATTGTCACATGTCGTTCTGCCGGCGGAGTTCTGTTGAATGCAGTTTTCAGTTTGTGATTTTACAGGGAAAGTCAGCCCCCTTATTTTTTAGTGTCCCTAGTGAAGTAAAAGGACTGTAAAAATCTCTTTTTTTTTCAGAAGCTATATTTATAATTATAGGCTTGAGAGTCCTAGTTACTTATGTGAATTGGCTTTTCCCTGTTCTGTCTCTGATTTTGATGGTTGTGAATATTGGTAATCAAACTCATACTTAATTTTTTGGTGTATTTACACATGTCCTTGCCTTTTTATACCAACAATTTGAATTGACCGAGTTTAAAAACTTAAAAAGACACATCAGTGCTTTCTGAATCTATTAAGAACATGGCATAAAACATAATGGTGAAGTGGTAAAGTATGATTTCTTATTTTACACTTAGAATCCTTATTTAATCGTCGAGTTGAGGAGAAATCCAAAGAGCTCCCTTTCACACCTTTGGGCTGGCATCATAACAACCTGGAGCTGCTGAGGGAGGAGAATGGAGAGAAACAAGCCATGGAGAGGTTGCTGTAAGGCAGTGAGCTTTTTGATGTTAATCTTCCATTTTTATAATTTTCAGTGACTTGATGGGCATATGAGTAGTTGTTCTTCCTCATGAAGTCAAAAATACTAAGATTATTTAGGAAATAAAGCCTGTTCTGATGAAATTTCTTATAAAACAAGAGTCCTAAACTGTGATTGTCTGTCCCAATTGTAATTTATGTGTTAAAATTTCGTTGAATTAAAGGGGTTATCTTAATTGAAGATACTCACAGATTTCATTCGTGTATAAAATCATTAAGGTACAGATGAAATAAGATCGGCTTAAGAAGATCTTGTCTTTGAGCCATAATTCCTATGCTTATTTCTTTGTAGACTGCTTATTGCATCTTCAGAATTACTGTCTCTGGCAGTAATAATTGCAAACTTCTTTCTTCTGACATTTTTATAGTTCAGCTAATCATAACCACATGATGGCACTACTCCAACAGTTGCTCCATAATGAGTCATTGTCACCATCTTGGAGGGACATCATCGTATCACTGGTCTGCCAGGTTGTTCAGACAGTCCGACCTGATGTCAAGAACCGGGACGATGACATGGATATCCGTCAGTTTGTCCATATTAAAAAAGTGAGCTCTGCTAATGCTTTTCTAGTGCTTGGAACTGATGGCATGGGCCTGGTAGTAATTTGTTTCCTAATGGTAATCGAAAAGGGGTTCTAAGTAAGGGGGGGGGGCTTATCTGTCTGCTCTTTTTTTTTTTTTTTTTTTAAAGATTTTTTATTTATTTATTTGACAGACAGAGATCACAAGTAGGCAGAGAGAGGCAGGCAGAGAGAGAGAGAGGAGGAAGCAGGCTCCCTGCGGAGCGGAGAGCCCGATGTGGGGCTCGATCCCAGGACACTGGGATCATGACCTGAGCCTAAGGCAGAGGCTTTAACCCACTGAGCCACCCAGGTGCCCCTCTGTCTGCTCTTTGTTAGCAGTGCACTTATGGGTCATAGAAGCCACCCATAGGAAGTGAGAAATGAATGGAAGGGGGTGAGTTGGGCATGGAATTGGGAAACAAACCAATGGTAGTTTCTTCTTTTTTGCTTCCTTTTTCTTGACACATCATCTATGAGAAGACCTCTTCCCACAGATTACTGTTACTGTTCTAAGAAAAAGCAGTGGATAATTGCCTTATTTAGATAGTGGAGTCCTATATGTATTTTTTGCCTGTGACGTTTGATTCAGTAATGGTTTTAATTGCCCATTTGGTCAGTCATATGGGTATTTTAGAGTACCAGATAAGACCGTAGAGAGTGGGAGGTGGAAAAATAGTCATGCTAGACTTCAGTAATTATTGGTTGAAGGGAAGAATTATATCCTGGAACTTTCTGTTCTGATTTGATTACATAATAGTTAAAATTAAAAAAAAAATGGAAATAAATAATAGCATCCATCTGACTGGATTCTAATAATGTAGCATTGAGTTTTGTTTTCTTGTTTCATTAGATTCCAGGTGGAAAGAAGTTTGATTCTGTGGTTGTCAATGGATTTGTTTGTACCAAAAATATTGCACATAAAAAGGTAATGTGATCTGTTCAACAGTGAAGTTCAGCAAACTATGACTTGTACCAAGCCAACGAGTTGGGGTGCCCTAACCATAGGAGAGAAGGAGAGTGGATAGCAAGGAGCAGTTAGCAGTGTCTGCTCTAGAAGTGAAATTTTGGAAGTTCGGGTAAGGTCTTCAGGGCTGATGATGATTAGGATTTGGATAATACGAATTTGTGAGATGAGAAGGAAGGAAGAGGATAGGTCAGGCTTCCAGACAGAATGATAGGGTACTGGTTACATCTTAGGGTACATCTTAGGGAGACAAGGTTTCTCTAATAGACGGGAGTCCTTCCAGAAGCCTAGCATTTTAAAGCTTTGTTCTTTCTTCTAGGGCTGAGCGGTAGCACTGTCACTGGTGTTCTCTTATCCTTCTCACCTATCTTTGCCTTCAGGCCTGAGGCCTCTTTCTAGCCCTAGCACAAAGGAATGGGGTGAAATAACCTGGTGTATTAAGGAATCTCTGAGATCCTAAGGTGCAAGATGAGAAAGGAGATGAGGCCGGAGGAAGCAGGCAAGGGGCTTTGTGTCCCATTTAGGGGCTTGATCTTTATTCTGAAGTCCACTGATTTTTAAAGTGCATGGTACATCAGAGTCCCCTGTGGACCTTGTTAAATACACGGATTCCTAAGCCCAACCCCTAGAAATTCTCATTCATTATAAGGGTGTGGGAGTGTGAGGCTAAGGGAAACGTGGGGCTGCTTTTAAAGTAGGCACTGCATGTGTTCCCAGTGTCATTGGTCATCACATTTGGAAAAACCATCAATCTAGCAGTGCTTTCGAACTTGCTGTGCTCCTGAATCCCTCCAGGAACTCACTGCAAATAGAGATACCCTGACCCCCCACCTCCAGAGATACTGATTTGGTTACAGTGAGAGCTTAGGTAGATTTCTAGTGTGAGCAACCTGATGGGCGAACTACAGTCCTGTTTTCACTCTTCTCTAAGCAGAGACTAATTCCTTTTTTTGTAAGGCATGAAGCCTCCTGAAAATTGTCAGTGATCATTGATAAATAAAACTATGCTTGGATTTGATCCAATGTCAGTATTTCTGCATAGAATCTTATTAAAACAGGCACGTTACCCATCAAGGTAGTAATTTAAGCCAAATTAAATGATCTCTATTGAATTAAGAGGAGAGTATGTTGAGCTTTTCTTTAGAGTTGAAAATTGTATGTGGGAGTGGTAGAAACATATGCATGAATGACTGTCTTGCTTCACTGCCCATGTTTAGAGATAGTCTTTAATTTGTAGTTGCTAAGAACAAAAATCCCCAAGCATAGTTCCCCAAATGCTGCATTCACTGCTTTAAAGCCATTTGCCAGTTCAGAGTGTATAAGCACGGTCACTCTGAACTTCCATTGCAGGGTCTGGGCTGTTGGGCTTGTGGCTTTAGTTATATGGTTAGGATTTTTGTCTGAGTCTGCCCTTCTGGATACTTTAAGGTTTTCCTTTTTGAGTTCTTGTTACTTGGTTTGGCTTCCCAATTTATCACTGCTTAGAATCTATTCAGGAAATGTTTTCATTCTTTTCTCCCTCCTTTTTCCTTCTTGAATTTTAGAAAGGGTAAATTATGCTTTCAAAGTTGCTGATCTTTACGAGTTCATGAGGAATCCTGTCTTTAAGCCCTTTTCTTCCATACCCAGGGCTTGATACCTTTTCTTGCAATATTAGGAACCCCCCCCAAACCAAAAATCTTTAAAGAGTGTAGAGGATTAGGTTAAAATAGAATTAAGTGAAGCAAAGCCAATTTTTGAGGAAGTCTGCTTCACTCTGAGCAATTTGTTTTGAAAAAATATATAAGAATACTGCAAAAGAACTACATGAGAGTATTTCAGTACAAATATAAGGAGATAGTCTATTTAGAAAGAATTATAAACAATATAACTTTAAAGATATGATTAGAGGAGGTCTGTAAAGTGCAGGCTTTAAAAAGCTTTTAACAAATTTTATGTTTTGTAGATGAATTCTTGTATTAAAAATCCCAAAATTCTTCTGTTGAAGTGTTCCATCGAGTATCTCTACAGAGAAGAAACTAAATTTACTTGCATTGATCCTATTGTGCTTCAGGTAAGGACTTCTGACTGAAACAGTGATCTGCAGGGGTCTTTGTGTACTGTAGGGCTCGCAGACTCATAACTCATTCCAGCTGGTTTTATTTGGCAGGGAAAGAAACTTGATGGCTTTTGTTTCACTTAAAAAATTATTATAAAAGACATCTTTTATGTATTACTTCGGAAGCTTATCAAAACCTCTGTCATTCCTTATTTTAGAGTTTCAGAGTTGTTAAAGGGAACGTACGACTTTTGGGGAATATGTGGAAGAAAAAGGGAAACTCTAAATTCTGGCCTCTCTGCCCACTTGGGTTATTGATTTACTTTAAGGATTTTTCTAACTTAGCAGATCCCCAGTGGCAATGCCTAGTTTTTAATAGAGTCTGTCCTACTAAAACACATGTTTCTGGACTGCCAGTTACCTTTTACATGGTTGGTTAAGGGGTGTAATATCCGATGGAAATTGTGTTTCTGTATGATTTTTCTTAACTAAGGGACCCAGAAGAGCTGCAGAGGATTCTAATCCTTAGCCTCAGCTCAGCTGCTACACAGGCTGGAACCCTTTTGGCTCTGTTTTAAGAAACTAAAAGTGCTTTTTGCTGGAAGTGCTCTCACCCCAGAGAGATGCACCCCCAGCCCTGCCTGGATGGCTCTCAGTGGCCCCACTGCTCAGAGCTCCATTTCCGGTTGTACCGTTGTAGTTGCTTTTGTACATTTTAAATTCCCTTGAGGCAGCCTCCAGCTGTGCTGAGCCACCTGTGTGGGCTGTCCAGGTTCTCTCTCAGGGTACTGACTTTTATTTTTGCTAGTGGGCTGGATATGAAGTTGCATTGGTTTAGAAAGTTTTTTGCCCCAACTGCCTTTCTCCCCTAAACGCTATGCATTTTCATTTGCAGTTGTTCAAAATAGGAGGTTTTCAGGAATGTGTCTTATCATGTTATAGCAGAAACGCTTATATTCAGTTCCAGAAATATGTAGGAAAAGCATTACTTGAATATCCATAGGTGACAATTTTCTGAGAGTGGTAGGAACAGTCACTTTTGTACTGAATTCATAGAAAAGCAACAGAAGAAACTTAGTTGTGTTTTTTTTGAATTCTGCTTTGTTACTTGGGGTTGTTTCCTCTTGGAATTCAGCTATGTATAACAAAAATCAGGTTTTGACTAGATCATTACCATCCCTGATAGCTCTGATTTACCATGACTTCTCAGTGGTGAATTGATATCAGGAATAGGGAAAAACAAAATTACTGTTTTTGGAGTCTCAGATTTTTTGATGCTGGGAGTTCTCTTAATCTCACTGAAGGTATCATTGGAAGACTTTTATAGGATTAGATCACAACTGTGTTGATTGTAAGGCTTATCCTGAATGGATTTGTTAAAATGTATGAAATTGCAGGTCTTGGATGAACTGGATTACTGAAATCCACAGGTTAGTGTTTATAGAAAAGTATATTTAAATTTATCCACTCTATTGTAACTCCATTCCTGAAATTAGGTTAGTGGACTGAAGTCTGTTTGTGTTAGAGAAATGTGCTGTGGGCAAACATGTATTTAAGAAACATGATTTAATTTGCTATAAGTTAAAATACATTGTGCTTTGAGACATAGTTTTTTAAACCTTAAACACCTGCCCTATGAAAGTTTTTAGTTTGAATTGATAGAAAGTATCAGCTGATTTGAGTTCTCTCTCTCTCTCTCTCTCTCTTTTTTTTTTTTTTTTTTTGGTCCACTCAGTGTGGAATAACCAAAGAAGCAGCAGAAATTTTGGTAGATACAGGCATACCTCAGAGATTGCAGGTTTGGTTCCAGACCACTGCAGTAAAGCTAGTATTGCAATAAAGTTCATCAAATGATCTGTTCATCTCCTGATGCATATAAAAGTTATGGTAACGCTGTACTGTAGTCCAATAAGTATGCAAATAGAATTATACACACACACACACACACACACACACACACACACACACCTTAATTTAGAAATACTTTATTGCTAAGAAGTGCTAGCCATCATCTAAGGTTTCAGGGGGTTGTTCATAATCCCTGATTACAGATTACCATAACAAATATAATAATAATGGAAAAGTGTAAAAAACTATGAGAATTACCAAAATGTGATGCAGATATGAAGTGAGCAAGTGCTGTTGGAAAAATGGTGCCAGTGGACCTGTTTGACACAGGGTTGCCACAAACCTTCAAGTTTGTAAGAAATGCAGTATCTGCAAGGCACAGTAAAGCACAGCACAATAAACAAAGTTTGCCTGGAATCAGGAGAAGGAGAAGCAAAGGGCAAGGAGATAAGCAGCTGGTGGCTTCACAGAGTCTTCACAAAGCTGACACTGCTCGCGCTGTTGGTCTGCCCCTGCCCTGCTCCGGGCTCATGGCCTACTCTTTCCTTACCCTTTCCTTGCTGGGCCTGGACCAGGCTCCCTTTGGAACACGGTGCTTCGTGTTCAGTCATGGCAGTTGTTTATAGTTGCGACTGAGAGGAAGTGTATTTGCCATTCCTGTGCCAAAGCCCAGAGATTAAAAAAAAAATCAACGTCTTCTAGGTATACTTTTGAAGCTGCAAAAATAACATCATTTAAAATGCTGTTAGGGGGCACCTGGGTGGCCGGTCGGTTGGGCAGCTGCTTTTGGCTCAGCTCATGATCCCAGGGTCCTGCGATCGAGCCCTGCATTGGGCTCCCAGCTCAGTGGAGAGCCCGCCTATCCCTCTCCCTCTGCCTGCCACTCTGCCTACTTGTGCTGTCTAGCTCTCTGTCAAATAAATAAAATATTTGTAAATAAAATAAAATGTTCAGTTGCCATGTAATAGGTAGAGTAGGAAATTAACACATTTCAAGGGAAAAAAATCTATTTTGTTAATAATGGGAGATTTTGAAAATGTCCAGTTTTTGTCAATAAAACAGAGAAAGGTAGAAATACACTCCATCCTGGCAGGTTCATTGCAGGAATAGGCTCTTCCACTGCTGGTGACACTCGTCGTGAATACAGACTTGCCCGGAACACACTTTGGGTGGGTGGAGCAGAAGTGACAGACGTGCTCACACATTCAGGTGTCCTCCTGTGTGGAGCCCAGAAATTTTATGGAAAAAGTTAGTGATTTGTATTACTGTTTTTTTGTTTAAGATTTTATTTATTTATTTGAGAGAGAATGAGAGCCAGAGCACGAGAAGGGGAAGGTCAAAGGGAGATGCAGACTCCCTGCTGAGCAGAGAGCCTGATGCAGACCTGATCCAGGCTCCAGGATCATGACCTGAGCCAGAGGCAGTTGCTTAACCAAATGAGCCACCCAGGCGCCCCGTGATTTGTATTATTTTAATTCTGGTCATTACTTAACGTATTTATTTGCTTTGAAAATAAGCCTTTGTCAAGCCATTGTATTAAGCTTTGTGTTTTAGATCTTTAACTCCGGCTGTTCTGGGTAGAATATGATCTGCTGGGAGATTGAGATGAGGAGGAAGCAGAAATAGCATCGTTAGAGTTGTTTATTTAGATAGCCAAAGAAAAGCTACTCTGGTTACTTTCAGAACATAATGGGAAATCTATAATTAAAAAAGTAGAAATTGCTTTCATTGGGGTGTTGGGCTGTTAGATTTTTTAAATTTATTATTATTATTTTTATATTTTTTTAACATCTGAGAGCAAGCTAATTGGATTCTTGACTTTCATAGTACAAGTTACTAAGAACTGAAAATCAAAGTACGATTAGTAAGTCAGAAAATAAAGTTTCCCCGAAATTCTTTTTAGCATAACCAACAGTTTAGAATTATGAATAAAACTCTAGGTTTTGTTTGAAGTGACTTGCTTCTGGACTTATTTATGGATGAAGAGAATTTAGGCTTAGATTATATTAATTGTCAAACTATCCTGATATTTTAATATCTCTAGATCTTGAATTGTACCAGCTGTAATAGTTTTGATGGTTTTTTTTCCTCAGGAAAGGGAATTCTTGAAGAATTATGTTCAGCGAATAGTTGATGTTCGACCCACCTTGGTTCTAGTTGAAAAAACAGTATCTCGGATTGCCCAAGACATGTTATTAGAACATGGCATTACTTTGGTCATTAATGTAAAATCAGTGAGTGTTCTTATTTTTCTATTTTTATATCATTTTTTAAAATCTCAGTTTTTAAATTTATATGTATGCATGATTGATATGCAGGGATCTTTGATTATCTATTTGCTATTCCGTATATTGAAAGTAGGACAGTAGCCACAACAGCCATTTCATTATCTAAGACTGGAGAACCTCAGGTTGGAAGAAAGTGTAATTAATTATATAGTGCTCATTATAGTTATTTACAAGACCAAAGGTATAATAGATATTAGTTAATAAGTAGTCCTTGTTGAGCTTTCATTTTTTTCAGGGAATTGTACAAGTAGAAAATGTTCTCTCTTGAAAAGTTACCCTCTTCAGAATAGAGGCCAATTCTAGGAAGTTTTACCCTTCCCTCCTCAGTATTCTGTGCCAATACATGATGCTTAAATACCTTTTATAATGTTATTAATATGAATCTGGTTTGTTTTCGTGGGTACCTATTGATCGCTAGGCAACTACTTGTAGTCTAATCTAGAAGCAAAAGAATTGTTATATAATTAAAATTAAGAAAATTATATAATTTAATTATGTAATTAAAATTAAGGAAATGATGACGTTTATTTTTTAATATTAATTTTCCAGAAAAAATTTACTAAGAATTTTATTTTTCTCTAATTTTGTAATATAATGTTTTTCTGTGTTCTAGCAAGTTTTAGAACGAATCAGTCGGATGACCCAAGGTGATTTAGTAATGTCGATGGACCAGCTGCTTACAAAACCCCACCTGGGCACCTGTCACAAATTTTATATGCAGATGTTTCAGTTACCTAGTGGTGAGTGATCTTTAGCATAGATTCACCTGAGATCGAGGACAAGAGGAATGAGTAAACTCATTAGTATTATAGTGTTTATTTTGTCCTACTAATATCTACTCTCTGTTAATAATAACTAGTTACAATGCTAGTATCCGTGAGCAGTGGTTAGATGAGTATTGGCAACTGTGGTCTTACTTAGAGTTTTTTCTCTTATTGAGGTTAGGATAATGAATTAATTCTGTCTGGTCTTAGCGGATTGCCACCTAAGTCTTCTTAAACTTTTTATGTTTATTTGTAGAGCAAACCAAAACACTGATGTTTTTTGAAGGCTGTCCACAGCACCTGGGTTGCACGATCAAGCTTAGAGGGGGCTCTGATTATGAGCTGGCTCGAGTTAAGGAAATCCTAATATTTATGATCTGTGTAGCTTACCATTCGCAACTAGAAATCTCCTTCCTCATGGATGAGTTTGCTATGCCTCCTACGTTAACACAGAACCCTTCCTTCCATTCTCTGATCGAGGGGCGGGAGGATGAAGGGACTGCACAGGAGCCATTCAGCGGAAGTCCCCGCACCCGGGAGCCCGACTTCCCGGCAGAGCTTCTGCCCTCCGAGGACGGCAGTTTGCTAGAACCGAGGACCGTGTTTGAGAAGGGCGACCAGGAAAATAAAAGCGTGACCCAGGATGCTGCCTCTTTGAAGCATCAAGAGTATGCCTCGACAGCTTGCACGGCAGGTATCCCCTGTGCCCTCTTTCCATCGGTCCCGGAGTCACTGTTGCCGCTCCACGTGGACGACCCGCAGGATGCCCTGGGCATGGAGCAGCCGGAGCCCTTGCAGCACGCGGATGAGCTACAGGATCCCAAAAGCCCGATGAGAACCTTTAGAGACCCTTTACAGGACGACACTGGATTGTATGTGACCGAGGAGGTTACCTCTTCTGAAGATAAACGAAAGACTTATTCTTTGGCCTTTAAACAGGAATTGAAAGACGTGATCCTCTGTATCTCCCCAGTAATCACATTCCGGGAGCCCTTCCTTCTGACTGAAAAGGGGATGAGATGCTCTACCCGAGATTATTTTGCCGAGCAGGTGTACTGGTCTCCTCTCCTCAATAAAGAGTTCAAGGAAATGGAGAGCAGACGGAAGAAGCAGCTGCTCAGGGATCTCTCCGGCCTCCAGGGCATGAATGGGAGCGTTCAGGCCAGGTCTATTCAGGTCTTGCCCTCGCACGAGCTAGTGAGCACTAGGATTGCGGAGCATCTTGGGGATAGCCAGAGTTTGGGTAGGATGCTGGCTGATTACCGGGCCAGAGGAGGAAGAATTCAGCAAAAAAATGCAGACCCTTTTGCTTATTCAAAGGAAGTACCTGGTACAGCAAGCGGCAGATCAGGAAGCAGAATTGAGGGTGATGAAGAGAAGGGGTTGATTCCGAATGACGCGGTGTGGTCCACAAAGGTGAGGCCACTTCGGGTGCACGTTTAGAACCTGTTGAAAAACTGTGCTGTGGCATGTTTAAAAAAAAACACACAAATATGACAGATTTCAGATTTAGTAAATATTTCTTCCTGTACCTTTTTTTTTTTTTTTTTTTGGCCTTGAGTCAGCTGGTTTATGTATTGCTTTAGATATGAAGTAGGAGTATCAAGTAATGAAACTGGGTTTTGAACTTTTCACGCTGAGCTCGCAGTCAAGTATGGGAAGAAGAGCTTTGCGGTAGGCGGAAGGGTGGAGCTAGGTAAAATCCGTGGCAGGCTGACTTGGGTGTGGTGTGATGCGTCCTTGATCGTTTTAATAAGCTTGTGAGAGGGAGCAAGACAGGAGGTTCCTGCAGAAAATGGATGTGTTTTTAGAAAATGTCAGAAATATTTATTTAGCATAAAACACTTCACGTTATTTAACGATGATAGTGCCCTTACTCTTTTTAAACACAAATTGAGGGGAAATGAAGGAAGATTTGCTTATGGACACATTATTAGTAGTGTTTGTAATAAAACTAATGAAAAAATCCATCTCTAAATCAGGATATGAAATTGTTTAATAGAACAAATAAAAAGTTGCCTATTTTCACCCAGAGTTGGGGAAGTACTAAATAATAATGGAACACCGTTTTCTGTATGGTACACTAGTGTTTGTGAGATTGGCAAAAAAGGAAAGTGATAAGAGTCATGGTTAATGTGGTGTGGAAAAAACCTATAATAAATTGTGTATAAATTGGTGTTTATATACATTTATATAAATTTATGGAAAGTGATGAGATCCATTTTTATTTCCATGTAGATGTATGTACCTATGGTCCAGGATTCCAATCTTTTATAACCTATTCTGCCGAAATAAGCAAGCATTTTATATAGGAATGCTTACATTTTGTAGGAATATATGTACAAGGAGATTTGCTGAAGCCTTGTTTCTAGTTGTTTGCAGTAAAAGGATGAGTTAGATCTCATTGAATCACCCAGATAGAGCCCATGATATATTTTCAAGTGTTAAAAAACAAGTAGTGTTGTATGTAGCATCCTCTCATTCTTAGAAAAACGAAATCACCTGTGTATTCTTATGTGGGTGTTTTTGTGTATAAATGCATGTGAACTCAAAGAGAATGCATGTTTTTTTTTTTTTTAAAGATTTTTATTTATTTATTTGACAGATCACAAGTAGGCAGAGAGGCAGGCAGAGAGAGAGGGGGAAGCAGGTTCCCTGCTGAGCGGAGAGCCCGATGCGGGACTCGATCTCAGGACTCGGGATCATGACCTGAGCTGAAGGCAGAGGCTTTAACCCACTGAGCCACCCAGGCGCCCCGAGAATGCATGGTTTTTAATCACAGGGTCAAAGTTACCACTCTGGGAGGTGGGGTAGCATCAAAGGAGGAGAGGCTTTATGTATTTCTGGAACTTCTTCATTTACCTCTGTACTGTTTTATTTTCAGCAGAGAGCAAATGTTGCCTTTGTAATGACCAAGAACAGATATAAAGTACAAATAAGTAAATCCCTGAGAATGTGGATTTCTCAGATTGATGTTATATCCAGTCGTCAGTTCAGATCGTTTCATATGGATCTAGTTCATTAACTGTTTACTTCCAAAGTAATTTAATGCGGTTTTGTAAGTAATAAGGAGTATTTAGGAAAACAAGCTATTTAGACATCTGTTTGTATTTTTAAATTAACTTAAACTTTTTGGATTGTTCTGTCTCAAAAATGAACTGCTCCTCTTCCTCATATTTAGTTTCTAGCAGTTTTCAGTCTTCCCTGGCACGCTCACAGTGATGGTGGGAGGCAAATCGAGGGGCATATGTTGGGCATTAGCATGCCTTGGGGTTGGAGTGTGGGGCGGCTTCTGGGTGCTCATCCGCTCCTTCTCCTGTAGGTGGACTGTCTGAGCCCCGTGAACCACCAGAGACTGTGTGTGCTCTTCAGCAGCTCCTCGGCCCAGTCCAGCAACGCCCCCAGTGCCTGCGTCAGTCCTTGGTAGGAGTCTTTTCCTCTTGCCCTGTTGCACTGTATTTAACAACAGAATCCCAGCAACTTAAGAAAACATTTCAGCCGTTAGAATCTGTGTTTAGGTACATGGAATGTATACGAATTGATAGAACTTTTAAACTTGTGAACTAAATACGGAATTTGTATTTGTTCATGGGTAAGGAGTAAATGAGAAGTACCTTGAGTAAGAGGGAAAAGGATGTGAGGGGTGGAAGAAAGTTTGTATGTATAAAAATGAGAAAGCTGATACGTAAAAGCTAGTTTGCTTTAAAAAAAAAAAAAGATTTTTTTATTTTTAAGTAATCTCAACACCCAACATGGGGCTCGAACTTACAACCCCAGAGATAAGGAGTTGCACACTCCTCTGACTGAGCCAGCCAGGCACCCCTATAAAAACTAATTTTAATCATTGTGATAATAGTGTACAACATACGCAGGTTTTCTGTGAGGCATCACTTTCATAAAAGTAGCGAGTCTTTGGCCTTATTAATGGGTTTTTCTAAAACTTAATTATAAGTACACTGATAGAAAAACATCTTATAGTATCATAAACTATTTGTTTAAAATGATATAATAGTCACAAAAGACTACTTATTACATAGTTTATCTTTAGTTTTAAAAGTACTATGTACTTTAATTTTAAAAAAACTTGTTCTTGGAGCACTGTTTCTGTGATAAAATGTGTTCTGTATTTTAACTGTGGACTCCAGAAACACTTTATTTCTACCAGTGAGATCATTCTTCTAGTGTGTATAGCTCTAGCAGACTGACTTGGGGCTGAGGAGCCCATAGGAGTTTTCTGTGGGAATTTATGGACTCCTTAGGCCAAGGCTTGAATAATTTAACAGTGCTGTATATAGCCAAATTCTCTTATTTATGGGCATTCATAAGTTAGGCATAACATCAGGAATTGGCTCTCCTGGAAGGATAGGAGCTGCTCTTTTCTGTGCTCAGTAAAGGTGTGGACCAGAGGACAGGAGATAGGAGTTCTATTTTATGGTGATAGGATATAACGGCTTTGTAAAGGAAACTTCCTGGCTCACATCTGTTTCAGTCATTTATTATTATTGTTTATACATTCTGATATAGTTTGATAAGATACTAATGGACTGGGAGTGGGTAAGGAGATACATTGTGGCTAGTCAAAACTGTTTTATCTGATGAAGTTAACCCTGTTCTATAAGAAAAGTGGAATATTGCCAACTTTAATACACTACATTGTAGGCATATTTAACAGGTAGTCCATTTGTAGTCTCATGAAGTGTCCTGGCTGTGTGGTTCTTATGACATACAAGCTCCTAAGAAATGTTGTCTTCTTCTAGGATTGTAACGATGGAATTTTATGGAAAGAATGATCTTACATTAGGAATATTTTTAGAGAGATACTGTTTCAGGTAAGAACAAATTTTCTCCTTATATTCCATGTATGCTTTTCTGATGCCCAGAATTTCAACCCAAAACATGAGCATGAGTTGGAGTATTATGTGGCCTCTTCTATAATACCACATGTCAGAGTATACCATACAAAGAAGTAATTTCATATTCAACCCCGGAATGTCTTATCTAGTTCATTCCTCAGATCTTTGAGTGTCTAATTATGCTGTGATCCCTAAGACTTTTTTTAAGGATGTCCGTTTTTACAATGATTAAAATGAGAGGCAGGAGAAGCATAGAGATCAGCTAGACCTTGGTTTAAGTCTTAGTGCTATCACCTGCCATTTACATGATAAAGAGTAATTTTTACCACCCCCCCCATACAGGGAATAACAAGCTCCTGAAGTATCATGGATTTCCATAGGTAAAATGAATTGATGTTTTCAAAATGCTAAGCACATAGAAGGTGCTTAATAAGTGGAAGCTATCACTGAGCCGCAGGAGAAGACAGGATGCTCAGCTATAGGCACCAAGCAATGTGGGTGATACCCTGCTCTGATCGTCCACCGGTCACCAATATTGCTCTAGAGAAAATACTGTACTTTCTGGACAGTGGTTCTAATTAGCCAGTGTCCATTCTGCATTGCTTCTGGTTTCATGGTTAATGTGAGGACTTCTTTTGGTCGAAGGCCTTCTTACCAGTGTCCTAGCATGTTCTGTGACACCCCCATGGTGCATCATATTCGGCGCTTTGTCCATGGCCAAGGCTGCGTGCAGATAATCCTGAAGGAGCTGGATTCTCCAGTGCCTGGATATCAGCATACAATTCTTACCTATTCCTGGTGCAGAATCTGCAAACAGGTAAATATGCCCTGTTGCTATAGTATTGCATACAACATCATTTACTTCTTTATTTGTATAGTTCTTTTTGGAAGGGGTGGTCTGTGTTATTTTGGGTTTATTCGTAATTGAGCTCTTTTCTATTTTACCTCCCAGGGCTGGGTGTTGCATTTAGTGTTTATTTCTTGAAGTTTCCATTTTAGAATTTATCAGTCATTAGGTAACAGACAGATACCTTGTTCAGTAAAATTACAGAGATTATATCTTGACAATCTTCAGTTATGTTTATTTATTCAGCACTGTCTGTGTGCTGGGGACTATGTGAGGGCCTGGGCATCGCTCCTGTCCTTTAGTGGGGGAGGCAGACTTGTAGCACAACAATGATAGCGCTCTAGGATGTTTGTGTCTGAGCGAGCCTATATCAACATTCCTATCTTAAGAGATATAGCTGAGACCATGTTTCAATTGATCTCTTGAGGGCATGTATTGCATGGAGCACTGGGTGTGGTGCATAAACAATGAATTTTGGAACACACACACGAAAATATTAAATTTAAAAATTTGATCTCTTGAGAAAAAGACCATGTGTTTTATTTCCTGTGTGTACTTTTCTTTTTTCACTCTAGAGGAAGTACTTGGTGACAATATTATGCTTTTAATATTTACTTTTTATCCAAATTGTTTGCAGTGAATGTATGCCAAGTTTAATAACTTCATTTACTTATTTTGGAGAGTGCTTTTGGAAGGCAAATATGAGAATTACAGATGAAATAATAGTGTGACCTGTATCAATGTCAGTGGTTGAGGAATGTAAAATCAAAGTCTGTTCATTCTGCAGTAGCAAGCAGACAGCCATGAAATAATTTCTTGTAATTATCTATCTTTTTATACTTGTTCTTATAGGCCTTTTGTTCCTTTTAGACAGCGGGTAATATTTTGTTGTGGAATATATGAACTTCTCTAGATCGAGCAGTGAATTAAATGAATAACTTAAATTAGATTTGTATATCTTACATGCCTTGGTGTATGTACTTTATTTTAAAACAAGACTTTTGCCTTTGGGGTTATGTTAGAAAGGAAAAGGCAAACAGTTTTTGTTACACAAAAATGAAAAAAACTTCCATGTGTCAAAAAACTTATAATATGACCAACTAGTAATATACTTAGTATTAAATTTCTGTAAGGCATGATAATAGAAAAAGGGCAAAAGGCATAACAAAGCAATTTAACAGAAATGACCAGTAGACTTGTGCAAATAGATTTTGCTCAGTAGTCCGAGAACTGTTAAGAAAACCAGTAAGTGCCTGTTAAGAAAACCCCCGCGCCTGGGTGGCCCAGTGGGTTAAAGCCTTTGCCTTCGGCTCAGGTCATGATCCCGGGGTCCTGGGATCGAGCGCCACATCGGGCTCTCTGCTCAGTGGGGAGCCTGCTTCCTCCTCTCTCTCTGCCTGCTGCTCTGCCTACTTGTCATCTCTCTCTCTGTCAAATAAATAAATAAAATCTTTAAAAAAAAAAAAGAAAAAAGAAAACCAGTAAGTGTAGTTTTGTTTTGTTTTTAAGAAATTACATTTTAAAGGTTTATAATTCCTGAGGTTGGTAAGAAAGTGGGGAAATTGATAGTCTCAGGTATTGTTAGAGATTGTGTAAACGAATACACCAGTTTTTTTTTCCTTTAAGATTTTATTTACTTGAGAGAGAGAGGGAATGCAAATGGTGGGGGTGGGGGGTTAGGGCAGAGGAAGAGGGAGAAGCACACTCCCAACTGAGCAGGGAGCCTCACGTGGGACTCGATCCCAGGATCTAGCTGAGCCGAAGGCAGACACAACCCACTGCGCCACCCAGGCACTTCCCAGTACCCCAGTTATAGAAGACAATGTGGCAAAAAGTATCAAAGACTGCATAAATGTTCATGCTCTTTGGCCTACCAATTCCTACTTTCCTTAATTTATTCCAAGGAAATAATTGTGGATATTTGTAAGTAATTACACACACACACACACACACACACACAAGAAAGTTCATCAGAGCATCATTAGAATAGAGAAAAACTTGTAATATCTTGAAAGCATGTCAGTAAGGATTGGTTAGATGTCCATATAATGGCATACTCTATGGCTATTAAAAATCAAGTTGTATGAGAGTATCTTATGTGGGAAAATACGTAGGAGACATTGCTAAGTAAAAATAATACAAGAAACTAATTATAGGAAGGGCTTTTTATTTATAAATACACTGTCTGGGTACCTCCTATGTATTCATTTACATATATATGTACATATATACATACATATAAATATACATAAACATACATAGAAAGTAAATATACTAGCATATTGATACTGGTGGGGTGGGATTACCAGTGATACTGCTCCCCCAGCCGTCCCTAACTCTAGCCACTTATAAACATTTCTTTTTCCAGTTTTCTTCATTCAGAATATATTAGATTTGTACTAGAAAAGAAAATAAATTATTTTTTAAAAAAGATTCTCAGTATGTGATTATATAACAAATGATTTATATGAATTTCAGGTAACACCAGTTGTTGCTCTTTCCAATGAGTCCTGGTCCATGTCATTTGCAAAATACCTTGAACTTAGGTTTTATGGGCACCAGTACACTCGCAGAGCCAATGCTGAGCCATGTGGTCACTCCATCCACCATGATTATCACCAGTATTTCTCCTATAATCAGATGGTGGCATCTTTCAGGTAAGAAGGCAGAGTGATCTTACACGCATGCAGTCACATACACCCTAGACGGCTTTGTGACATTTCTTTTGTAACTGGATTGAATTACTTTGTGGTATGTGTTGTTCCCCACCCCTACCATTGCAGATGTGGAGGGTCATACTCTGTGCTAAGAACTTTCAGTGTTGTCATTTTACTTCATCCTTAATTTAAGAAATAGGTATGATTATTACCTCACTTTCGAGCTTATTGGTCACTGAGAGAGCTAGCAAGTGATGAAGTCATGATAGGAACTAGTAGCTCTGCTGTTACAGGTGTTAATCTTAAGCCCTATTTTCTAAGCATTTGTTAGAATTTTTGTTAAGACATTAACTAGCTTAAAGTTAACTGGATATTCCAGATAGAGCTAAAATCACGAGTTTGCAGAATGGGTACCCTGTGATATTACATGATTTGAGAAAGCCTTCAGGCTCTGCCTTCAAAATATATCCAGAATCTGAATGCCTCTGACCATCTCCACCACTGCCACTCTGGGCTGGGCCTCTGTTGCCTTTCCCTAGAGTACTGCAGTGGGCTCACTCAGTTATCCTTTGGCTTGCCTCCTGCTGTCTGATCTCAACACAGTAGTCAGGGTGATTCTGTTAAGTGAAAATCGGCTCAGGCCACTCTGCTGCAGACCCTTCCATGGGTGTCTGTTTCAGTGAGCCCGTTTATGGGCCTGTGAGCTCCTATGTGCTCTGGCTGCTCAGTACCTCTCTGTTCTCACCTCCTGCTTCTGTCCCCTCACTTATGCCTGTCCCCTCACTGCAGCCTCCTTTATATCAGGTAGGATCTTGCCTGGGAGGCTTGTACTTGATTTTCCCTCCCTGATCCGCCCCTCCACTCCCCAGCTATCTGCCTGCTTTTCTGACCAGTCCTATGGGTCTTTGTTTCTATTGCTCCTGCCCTGACTCCTCATGCCCAGCACTCCCTGCTTACTTCCCTTGCTTACTTTAGTTTTCTCTAGAGCACTTACTGTCTGATATAATAGATATTTGAACTCTTTGTTTATTGCCCAAGTCTCCTTCTTCCTGATTCACCAGGGCAGTAATTCTGGCTCTTGTTTAGTGCTATATCCTCAGCCCCTAAAACAACTCTGACACAAAATAGTACTTCGGAAATACTGATACTTAGATAAGCTTATTTCCTTTTGGAAGCAAGAGCTTTAAACATGAATCTACTGCCTGGATGGGTGATAGATTTATTAGACAACAGAAACTCACGGGTAGAAAGTCTCCTAAGGGACTCATGAGGATGAAAGACTCACGAGGAATCCTCAGGAGCTGGGAAGGTGACCTGCTTCTAGGCAAACTGTAGGAAGGGGTTCCTCCCCTTCTTAAAGGTTTATATCCCAGTTGTGCTTTAGGCGATACATGATGAGGTCACAGTACAGTGAAGAAACAAACAGGACAAACCCTTCCAGAATTGGGGAGGATATTTATAATGGTTGAACATTGTCTTCAGTATTTTTTTAATTGTTTTAAAATGCTGTATTATAGAAACTTTGTCTTGTACCTCATAGAATTTAGGTTTATCTCTACTCAAGATGTTAAAATTTTTTTACTTTTCTACTGTTTGTATTTTTTTTCTCTCAGTTATTCTCCCATTCGGCTTCTCGAAGTATGTGTTCCACTCCCCAAAATATTCATTAAACGTCAGGCCCCATTAAAAGTGTCCCTTCTTCAGGACCTGAAGGACTTCTTTCAAAAGTAAGTTTTACTTTCTTTGATCATCTGTTTTTGTGTATATAGACATCTGTCTCTAATGTACACATATTTTAAAATATCAGGTTTGTTCATTTAGCTTTCTTTGAAAACATAAATAACTATTTTTCTAAATATATGTTATATATGTCCGATGTAAAAAAAAAATGTAGACTGCAAAAAGTATAAAAAAGAAATCAAACTCTCTTAGACATAACAGCTGTTGAAACTTTGATGTACATCCTCTTAGGTCTTTTTTGTGTAGCACAATTGTGTATTATTCTTAATTCATAAAATAAAAAGTTTTGTGTGTTGTTTTTCTATGTGAGATTAGAATATTTAATTCCAACTTTTCTAAGATGTTTAACGTTTATGTTTTAGAGTTTCACAGGTGTATCTTGCTGTTGATGAAAGACTTGCATCTTTGAAAACGGATACATTTAGCAAAACGAGAGAAGAAAAAATGGAAGATATCTTTGCACAAAAAGAGGTCATTCATTTCTTTGACAGAAGCTCAAAAGTTAAAAAACTTATCAGAAGTTTCTTTAGGGGTGGGTTTCAGGCGGCTGGAATTGTTTCTTTCCTTGTAGATGGAGGAAGGCGAGTTCAAGAACTGGATCGAGAAGATGCAAGCGAGGCTCATGTCTTCCTCAGTGGACACCCCTCAGCAGCTGCAGTCTGTCTTTGAGTCCCTCATTGCCAAGAAGCAAAGTCTCTGCGAAGTGCTGCAAGCTTGGAATAACAGGTGTGCTTTACCGTCTGGTGCTTTTCTGAATGTTTTTGCAAAATTTGCTCTGCCATGATTTTTTTTTTTTTAAGATTTTATTTATTTATTTGACAGAGATCACAAGTAGGCAGAGAGGCAGGCAGAGAGAGAGGAAGGGAAGCAGGCTCCCTGCTGAGCAGAGAGCCCGATGTGGGGCTCGATCCCAGGATCCTGAGATCATGACCTGAGCCGAAGGCAGAGGCTTAAACCACTGAGCCACCCAGGCTCCCTGCCATGATGTTTTTAATTGAAAGGCCTTTATTGTGATGCTACATTTAATTCTCAAATTGTAGAAGTTTTTATTTTTCTGTCAACACCTCCCCTTCATCATTTAAAACATATATGCTAATCTTCAGGTGGTTTGTAAAGATAAAAAAACAGATGAGAGTAGCATTCAGTGCTGTTTCAGATACTTAAGAGTGTGTGTGCTTATTGAATATAATATACCTTAATTAATATGCTGTGGAGTGATTATTGGTTTTTAGGCCAGGACTTTCAAATATATTATTATGTGTATCTTAGACCTTTATGTAAATTTTTATTGGGGGAAATATTTCCCTCTGATGCTTATTTAAAAGTTCAATTGAATTATTATAGCATTTATTTATGGAACATCTGCATTATGCTAGGCAGTGAGTAAGTCCTAGATGGACATTCAGTTTTTTATTTGGTCTTGTGAATCCTACAGTGTATATACTGTTTCCATTTTACAGAAGCTCTAAAGACTAAGGCATTCCCCCAAGCTGTATAGTTATTAATTGTCAGAGCTGGGTTTTGAGCTGAGGTCTCTTCATCTCTAATGCTCCTGTTTTTTGTTTTTTTTGTTACATTATGCTGTCTCTTACAATAACTTGTTACTCTTTTATAACTACTGTCATATCACTCACAGCTCTTGAGTAGTTGGTTAGAAATAAAGTTATGTATAATTTTAATAACTATTGCAATTGGAATAGGAGAATCTAATTATTGTGGTTTCACAATTGTAAAGAGAAAATTTGTATACCTTATTCAGGATATTAGAAACAAACTATGTTCTCCCCCCACAACCCTTTAATTATAGATTACAGGACCTTTTCCAGCAGGAAAAGGGTCGAAAGCGACCTTCAGTTCCTCCAAGTCCTGGAAGACTGAGACAGGGGGAAGAAAGCAAGGTAAAGAAATGTGGTCTCATTTTTGGTCTTTCGTTGATATAAGTATTACAGTTAATTTCACTTAAGACACTTTCAAGTGGTAATTTAATACGTGGTTTTAATAATATTAGATAGAGTCTTTCATTTTGCAGGTGTAAGGCTTCAAAGAGACATGGCCTAGATTAATTTTTATCTTGCTTTAAATACAATTGTTTGTTCATTTCAAACATCTATCAAAAGCCACTCTCTGTAGGCATCACTGGAAACAGCATCATGGTGGCAGTAGGTACCATAAAGGAAAAGTTAGGGATGCTCTGAGTATATGATAGAGTTCTAATTTATTTTACTATGTAGTTTTGTGTGTGTGTGTTTTTTTATCTCTGTGTTTAAGCAGGAAGTTTTTCTTAAGGGACCTAGCATTGGGTTTGTTCTGCACATTGATTTAGTTGGCTTTTCCTAACTGTATTAGTTTTGTCTTATTGTATCACAAATTACCACAGACTTTGTGACCTAACACACAAGTTTATCTTTTTCAGGGGGCCAGCGTCTGGTACCGTGTGTCTGGGATCTCTGCTCAGTCTCACATAGCTCAAGTCATGATTTCAGCCAGGGCCGTTATCTTACCTGAGGCTCAGGGTCATCTTCCATGCTCATCCAGGGTGTTGGCAGAATTTAATTCCTAGTGGTTAGAGGTCAAAGGTCCCACTTTTGTTGCTGGCAGGTGACCAGAGCTCATTCTTAACTCCTAGAGGCTGCCCGCATGCCTGCATGAGCCCCCTTTCATCTTCAAGGCTTACAACAACACATGCTTCTAATTTCCCAATTCCTGTTCTCTGACCTCTAGACACAGGTTTGAAGGACTTATGTGATTAGGTCACTACCTGGATAATCCCTCCCCATTTTAATGTTAACCAGTTTGGGACCTTAAATCTATCTGCAGAATCCCTTCCCAGCAGCAGTATTTAAATCAGTGTTTTAATTGACTAACCGGGAAAGGGGATTGTGTATACCAGGGGGCAGGACTTTGGGGGGCCATCTTAGAATTCTGCCTATTACATGAACCATGTTTTCTGATAAATTATTAATGTCATTATAATGTAAGGGCTTACTATTCCTTTTTTTTTTTTTTTTTTTTTTTTGCTATTCTTTTTAAAAAAAAAAGATTTTATTTTTTTATTTTAGGGAGAGAGAGAGAGAGAGCACATGCAGGGGCCAGGGGCGGAGGGAGAGGGAGACAGTCTCGTGTAGACTCTGCGCTGAGCACGGACCCCGTTGTGGGGCTTGATCTCATGATCCTGAGAACACAACCCAAGCTGAAACCAAGAGTTGGATGCTTAACCAACCGTGTGACCCAGGCACCCCATAAGGGCTTAATATACTCATACGATGAGGGACTTTGAGAGATTTTTTTTTTTATACAAATGTATAGTATCTGTAGAGAAGTATTTCCATAAAATGATAAATTCAAGTGCCTTAGATCTTGATGCTTCTTTTTTGTCTCAGGAACAACTGTGTAGGAATCACTTTTCCTTAAAATTTAGGTGAGAGTAAGAGTAAGAGTTACCGAAGACAATTTGTAACTAGTATTTGCCAAGTAATCTAGGGTTATCAATGGCTAACACCATTAGTATTAGCTGTAGTGGCTTTTTCATTTGCTCACTGAAGAAACTGCAAAGCTGGCGGTGTAAGACCTTTAATTATAATAGGTAGACACAGAATTGAAAATACAAAATCATTCAGTAGATGGTCATCTTTTTGAAGGTTTGAAAGTTGATGTGAAAATCTGTAGCACTGCCTGTACTTTAATTCAGTAACTAGTTTTTGAGTACTTTCAGGCACTATTCTAGGTTTAAGGCATATAGTTCTGAATAAAGGCCATAGTTACTATCCTTGTGGAACATTTGTCTAATGAGGTGGACACTGACAATAAACCAGTGAACAATAAACTTAAAAAACAAATGGGAAAAAGGCTATGAAGAAAAAAATAAAATAAGGGAAATGGAGAGTCTTGCTAAGGAAGTGGCTGGTGGTCAGTTATTTTATTGAGGGTGACTAGGGCCAGGGAGGTCTCTCTGGTATGGTGAGCAAATCTAAGAATGTTCTAAGTAACCATCTAAGAAATGATTTTCTAATCAAATTGTATACAGGGTTTATAGTGATTTGAAATATATGTTACTGGATATGGGATGATAATGGATATTATCCCATTATCCAGTGGATAATAAAAGATTACTAAGTTTAATGGGTAATCATGAGTAGTTTTTAGATGCCTTAATGCTAGGAAGTGAGCTACTCTTTAGAGCACATTCTCCAAGTGTAGTTCAAGGACCCCTGGGGGTTTTTAAAGTCCCTTTTGAGGGCCCTACATGATTTCCCTTTTTCAGTTGCATATTTATGTGGGGCTAGATTTTCTTTATACTCTTCAATCATAATAATATAGCTCAATAGATTAGTATTTGCAAAATACTTAAAGTATTTGCAAAAGTGTAAAAGTATTTGCAAAAGTATAAAACAATGCCACTTTGACCAGTTTTTTTGGTCAATAGCTATTTTTTAATTTAAAAATGTTATTTATGTTGACTTGTAAGAGCTTATTTTTAAATGAATTAATGCAAAAAAATGAATTAATGCATATTCTAAAACATTCAGTTTTAATTTCTAATAAGGTAAAAATCAAAAGTTATAACCCACAAAAAAGCTGAGTGTCTTAATAATTCTTAAGAAAGTTTTAAAAATGTGATTTTAATGTTTCCTTAAGAGTAAAGTATTTACTTCTCTACAGATAAGTGCGATGGATGCAGCTCCAAGAAATATTTCTCCAGGACTTCAAAATGGAGAAAAAGGTTGGTGCTTGAGTCTGGTGATCACTTGCTATTGGATTTAAAGAAATTTCTTGGTCTGTAGGTCATTTCAGTGGCTAATTTTGAGAATTTTTTCTGACATAGTTGTTCTAGACTTTGTTTTCCTTCCTGTAGAGTATTGTTAGCACTGTCAGTTTAAGATTAGCATAAAGTATATTGCAAGAAAATAAATTAGGATAAAGAAATGCACGATTTATAGAGATGGCTGCTGTTAGCGGAAGAGCAAAGAACAGAAGGAAATTGGATTTTTGTTTTCCCTCTTCCAAAGTCATCAGGTTTGACTGCAAAAACATTAGAAAGTTTAATTTATGTTTTTTATGTTACTAAAATCTTTCCTAGATCTAAGTTGTCTTTCACAGTATTTCATTGAATAACTTGATGCCATCTTAGAAAATTTGTAGGGAAATTTCCTTAGACTGCCTTTGTCTAAGGCAGTCTAATATGAACTCAACTCATAATTCTTAGCATTTCTATTATAATTAAGTGAACTTTCCCCCTGAGAGTGAGTATGTGATTTTTTCCCCAATGGTGCCCTGGTAAAACTGAATGGACTAGTGTTTAGGTAGCTATTATGGCCTAGTGGGAAAGGATATTGGATTGGAATCAGACTTGGGTTGCCAGTCACAGTGTTGTCACTAAGACCTGACTGTGACCAAATCATATAACCTGTTTGGATATTTGTATCTGTTTCTAAAATATGTGCTAAAAGGGCCTAGATAATTTTTAGGAAGCTAAAATTCTTTGGTTTAGGAAGTAGAAATATGAGTTGACATTTAAAAAATTTCCTATTAGGTAGACATGGGGTCATCATTTTTAAATGACTCACTTAAGTTTGTTTTTCTTTAGAGGATCGCTTCCTAACAACCCTGTCCAGTCAGAGCTCCACCAGTTCTACCCATCTCCAGTTGCCTACTCCACCAGAGGTCATGCCTGAACAGCTGGGGGCAGGGCCCCCTGACCTCGACACAGCCAGCAGCTCTGAAGGTGCAGTTGAAGTCACTTTTACTGTACTTGATCCAGAAAAGGAAAGCACCACAAATGCTTTGATACAATGCTTTCTTATTTCTCAGATTTTGTAAATTTTATGCTTATTAAAAGTGCTATTGGGGCATGTGGGAGGCGCATTTGGTTAAGTGTCCAACCTTGGTTTCGGCTCAGATCATGATCTCAGGGTCCTGGGATCTAGCCCCACACTGGGCTCCAAGCTCAGCTGGGGAGCCTGCTTGTGGATTCTGTCTCTCCCCTCCCTCTGCTGCTCCTTCCTCTCAGGCACGTGTGCTTCTCTTTTTCTCTATCTTTATCTCTAAAATTAAAAAAAAAAAAAAAGTGCTATTTTAGGTAGAGCTTTTTACTATATCACTTCTTCAGCTGCACTAGTTGACATATAAATATCTCAGTAACAGAATGTTACCCTGATTCCTGTTTTCTGGGGTTATTACTTTCTTGAGTCCCATAAAGCACACTTTCTCGTTATTTCCTTGTAAGAAAATAAGAGAAATTACAGCCATTTCTCCAACAACAGCTGTTTCTTTCACTAATAGCAAATTTTTGCCTCGCTTCTCTCTTTCCTTGCTTTCTGTTTAAGCAGTAACTACTTAAGTACTGTAAACTTTAAAAATAACTTTTAAAATTGCAATTAAACTATGATGTAATGACGACAGCACATATAACTGAGGTGAAGTGATGACAAGAAGAGCTATGGCTAAGTGCACACATGCTCAGGCAGTACTTACATTGTGGCTGCTGCCCGGCCCCTGCAATGGGAAGCCGTCGATTATAGGATGATGCAAGTTTCAGAGAGGGTCAGACGTAGAACAAACAGAGTGCTTCTTGGAATCAGTGCTGTGTATGCTTCTTCACTATTGCTGCTTCTTTCATCCTCAAAGAGTCCTTATTCCTAGATGAGAAATTTTGTACCTTAATTGGTAATTATGGTGTGCATATGTCTGTGTTCCACGAATGACAAGAAATAATGTTGATACTTCCTTTTCTTTTTACTCTTTCTGAATATTAACATGTAAGTAGCATATTTTTTATCCTAGATGTGTTTGATGGACATTTGCTGGGATCCACAGACAGCCAAGTGAAGGAAAAATCAACCATGAAAGCCATCTTTGCAAATTTGCTTCCAGGAAATAGCTATAACCCTATTCCATTTCCTTTGTAAGTATTTTAAATGTCAGTGGCTGTTGTTGAGTGGTTTTATTTTCACTTAATTTTAAAAACCTCTTTGTATAGATTTATTCTCTCCATATTTAGATATATTTATTTAATTGTATATATACTTTTCAATCATAAATTACACTTCATCATAGTAAAAGATGTCTTTTGGTATAATGTAATTTGTAGAATTATTATGTAGTAATTAATCATCATTACATAGTAGATGAGTGGATGAAAAAAGCATTATAATGTTGCTTAATGCTTAAGATTATTGATTCTGAAAATAATTGTTTATACATATATATATATCTTTATATATATATATATTAAAGATACACTGCTACATCTATTGATCCCATAATCATAGAAACATATTACTAGTTGTATGTAAAGATGACATTATTGACCTAATAACTTAATGGAACATGGTACTTTTCTGTCAGTGGTGATGTATTACAGTGACCCATACAAGTTTTTATGAGATCTTGTTTGTATAGGGTTTTCTGAGTTGGAAAGAAAATAGGCTGGCTGTGAGAGTTTGTTTTTTTCCCCACTGGCTGATCTGTGTAGCCATCAAATGCTACTCAAGTGTATCCAAAAGGTGGACATTTGTTAATAAGGACCTTTGTTCTTAACTGACTTTTGTATTTATTTCTTCAGTCAATATTTAAATTTACTGAGTGCTAGCTCTGGTGCCCGAGGATGTAGAACAAGATTAATAAGGAAAATCACTGCTCTTGGGAACTCCCCGTCTCAGGGAGGGGATGTGTAGCATTCATACTACAGTCTGTGAGGGTCCCTGTCTTCTCTGCTTCCCACTCCAGTATCATAATTTCTTGAGTGGGTTCTTGTCCCACCTGTTGTATGGCCTTTGCCCACACCCTCATTTTCTTCTTTAGTCATTAACTCCTTGAATTTTTCCTCAGGAAAACTTCAGACCCTCCTCCTAGCTCCCTGCCCTAGCCAGATGAGGTCTCTTTGGTACAAACTCTGTAACTCATGTTTCCCTCGTGAAACATACCACAGAAGGTGATTGTTTTTATTCGTAGGGTTGTTTGTTTCTTTCACTTACTGTACTATAAACTCTACCATGCCTGTTTTTTCCCACCTCTGAATTGTTAACATCTTGTCCAAGTTAGGGGCTCAGTATTAGTTTTTCTTAATACTGTGTCTCCGGTACAGTGGGTGCTCAGTACATAGCTATTACACAGATGAATGAATGCTTCTCTAGGGGCTGGAGGATGGAAGTCCGGGGATCAAGATTGGGGTTAAAATGGTCACCCCTTTGAGTTTCCATATGATAATAGGAGAACATTTGTGTTACATTATTTCTTGTTGGACTCATGGTACATTTTCCACAATTTCTAGAAAACTCATCTTTCAGGCTTAGAGTAGAACAAAATCTTTCCCACTTCTGCTGTTCATTATAAATACTTTTGGAAATGAACATGGCTCAAAGTCTTGGCAGCATGGAAAGTGTTTGGAATAACTAATCCAGAACCCTCAGACTTGAAGACTAAATCTGATGATTTTTCAGTGGCCTTTAAAAACTTTTTGTTGATAACATTTTCCTTGGCTGTTTGGTTTGGTTCAGTTTCTGCATACCTTTTGGTTTACTTAATTATAGTCTTATAATTGCGTCATATTTAGTTAACTTAAAATTGTCTTGAAATTTACTTATAATGTATTAGTGGTTTGTATATGTCATTTCCTGCTAATTTTGTTCTTACTGGTTTATTTAAAAAATTTCAACAGTGATCCAGATAAACACTACCTAATGTATGAACATGAACGGGTGCCCATTGCGGTTTGTGAGAAGGAACCCAGCTCCATCATTGCTTTTGCTCTCAGGTAATTTTCATGGGACTCTTTCACCTATGATTAGATCTTTCTATTTTATGTATATTTGTGAATGGCCTTATTTTTAGATCTTTTATAGAGAGTAGGGTGGAATGATTAAATATAAGCAAGAATATATATTCTTTGGGCATGTAGCTTGTTGTCTTTGGGTCTGAAAGTGTATTCTTTGCCCAAATAACAATAGGATGATTCTTAAGCAAGCTTCTAACTAAATCGACTAGGCAAGTTACTTACTTATCCTTATATCCTCTAAACATTCTATTATACTGTATATCCATTGTATCCCTTCCTTATTATGCTTACTTACTGATATAATAAAACACATTATCTGAGTATCTTTTGTACTCTTAATTTCCTTCCTGCTTCTCACACATAGCACGTAAGGTTTTCTTACTAGAGTAATGCCATTCCTATGTCTTAACCCACTTACATGCCAACAGTTACCATGTGTCTTTAAAAAAAAGCCTCTAAAAATATTTATATCTTATGTTTAAAAAGATAGTGCTTTTTAATCACAACAATATCTCAGTAGTGGTAGAACTTAGTTTAAGTATAATCTAAGATGTTTAACTAAATTCTTTTTCTGCTGGAAGGCATTGAAATGTAAATTTTTCTTTTTCTATATTGGTTACAAGGAGGCTGCTTATTCTGCAAATATTTGAATATCTACAATATGTGGTATAGTAGGCATTAGATTTATAGGAATAAGTAAGATAGATTTATATGCCTTAGCATTTATGAAGTTTAGAGTCTGTTTGGATTATGAGGAATTTCTTTTCTTTAGGAGATTCCATGTGACTTTTTTTGTTTTTGACTTTTGGCCTTTAGAAAATTAATATTTACTTCTTTATTGCTTAGTCTTACTACATTAATAGATAAGAAAGGTAGGAAAGCCAACCAAATACAAAATTTCTTTTGTACTGTGAAGAATTCCAGTAGAAATCACTTTCTTCTAATGTCTTGAAAAATAATATATGCTTCTCTTGTTCCCTGACATCTGATATATCTAAATCAGGGCTCTCAGACTTCTAGTCCAAGAGTTGGATTTTTTTCCTAAAGTTCAGTACCTTTTAATAGAAAAGCACTCTCAAGTTCCTTTACTTGCTGTTCTATTATACTAACATCTGAAGTTTTATACTTTAAATTACCTGTTCTATCCCTGAAGATGTTTGATCTAAATGTTAATATGTAGGCTTTCACAATCATTGTTTAGGATATTGATGCTGGTTGATGTGTTGATTTGTATTTTGCATTATTATCTGTGAAGATGATCTTCTTGAGGCTTCTACTTGATAACTTTTGTTAGTTGACTCAAATATGTTTAATTATGGACACATAAAATGATTGTATTTCTGTAATGTGGAACTTACTCTAAAGTATCTGATATATTTTGAAGAGAAACTTAATGTTTTAAGTTAACATTTTCAACCTATTTCTACCCTAAGTTGTAAAGAATACCGAAATGCCTTAGAGGAATTATCCAAAGCTACTCAGCGGAGCAGTGCCGAAGAAGGGCTTCCAACAAACAGGTGATCCGTGATTGAGTAGAATTCACTTCATTTGGCTGTATCATTTTTTAAACACTCGTGCTTTGATACTTCAATTTTATTTTATAGCATATTATCAGTGTGAAGGTTGCTAAGATACTGACAGTGGCACTCAAACTTTAGCAAACAATTGATAGAACAAAATTCATGTATAGCAAAAAGCCTTAAACAGGGCCTTTGGATACAGTTTTCTGACACATGACATAGAAGTGTAGTATATATTGCAGACTTAAACTTTCAGCATTTTAAATTCTCCTTGTTTTCATTACTTGTGAAATTAGTAACCTACTGCTTTACTTTGTTTGTAATTTAAAGTATTTGTGAATTTTCCATAATACTTAAGGATCCCAAATAGTTTAAAAACAAAACCAAGCCCCCCACCAGTTCTTTTGGTATATTCAATATTTTAGACATTTAGACAGAAATTGTCATAGGCTCATTATTTTGGTTCTTATTGAAGTAAGTTTTACACCTTTACTAATGTGACAAAATTTGATCTGGATTTATTTATTATCATGGTAACTAGCCTGAGAAATATGAAATTGGTATTTTCTGTAATTGTTCGACTTACAGGTGCTAAGATAGCTCTAATGAACTTGGGGAGATACTATAAAAGCCTCTGCTTTCATGTATTTTCCATACACTTTTATATTTACAGTATTTTGCTTTCTTTTTCTTAAGTCCAGTAGACATTTCAAGACTTTTTCTTCTGTGTTAATAACCTGTGTTTATATAAATTATGAATCAGATTTTGGATACTGTGATTGGGATTAGGTGGGGAGTAGATTAATGTAGGAATCATTCTCTCTCCAAATTGTATGAAGCTAACTTTTCCTTTTTTTTTTTTTTTTGTTCAGTACTTTAGATAGCAGACCAAAGAGTAGCAGCCCTATTAGAGTACCCGAGGTCAGTGGAGGACAGACAAACCGTACAGCAGAAGCAGAACCACAGCCAAGTAAGATTATACATGGAGGAACACTTATTATTAGTGTTATTTGTAATTATGGTTTGAAGAAGAAAACATTAAATAAGAAATGCCAGCTGGCAAGAATTTATTACTTCTGGTCTTTATGATATAAGAAGCATTAAACAATGTTTGTATGTCCTCTTTTGTAAATATTTTGCTTTTCCTTGATCTTTACCTTATTACTAGATTTGAAACTTCTAGAAATTCATAGGTCTATGCAAAAAGAAGCAGAATCTGCCTTTTTAGAGCTTTCGGTTGAAATTATACAAGCTGAGAAAGACTTTTTAAGAAAAAGAATTTATTTATTTGGGAGAGAGAGCACGAGCAGGGAAAGGGGGAGAATAAGAGAAAGAAGCAGACTCCTTGCTCAGGAGGGAGCCTGATGTGGGACTCGATCCCAGGACCCTGGGATCATGACCTGAGCTGAAGGCAGAGGCCTAACTGACTGAGCCACCCACGTGCCCTAAGAGAGACTTCTAAAAAAGTTTTCACAGTATTGTTGGCATTGTGAAAAGAATTTTTCACGGGTCCTGTTCTTTAATCCCCACAATAACCTCATAAGAGTTATTTGACATATCCCCATTTTTTGGAAAGAAAGTTAAGACTTCAGTAACCTGCTCAAGATTATAGAGGTAGCAAGAAGTTGGGATTTGAACACAGCTCTCTGGCTTTGTCAGGAATATACTCCCTACAAATAACAGAAAACTCAAGTGACTGCTGAGGCTCAAACAAACAGTATATTTTTGTAAAATAGCAATGTCCAGAGGCAGGCAGTTGCTGGCATTGGTTCAGCTAGTCAGCATTGTCATGACAAGAGAGGAGTGATTTCTTTATGATTCTCTTAAGTTTTCCTCATGATCAGAATGTACCAGTTCATGCCTCCACTTGGAATTGAAACAAGGGAGGTAGCTACAATCTGCAGCTGTTTCCTTTAATAGGAATAGAGAGGCTTCCCCTTTCCCCTCGTTGGCTAGAACTGAGTCTCTTAGTCACCCCTCTCTGCAAGGGACACTGGGACTGTAGTGACTAGTACTGCCCTTGTTGCTTTTATAAATCGTGATTCATTTTCTGGGGCTTTCCACATTGCTGCCCCAAACAAAATTGCAGTTCTTTCATCAAGGAACAAGATGGGCTTGGGTATTAAGGAGGCCATAATGGTGTCTGCCACCCTAACTAAGTACTTTATGAGTGATATTTTATGTGGATTTTGTAGATGGCAAATGTACAAGATTAGAATCATATATGCCAAGCTCATAGATCATACATAGATGATATAAGTATACTAAACTCCAAACTAAGAATGAGAGTATAGAGTAAGCTTTAGTAATATTTTTGGCCATCTTATACTAATTTCTGAAAAATGCTGAAAACATCTTAGATTTTGCTGTGTTAAAATATAGGAACACAAATGATACCGAGATGTTATTTTTAACTCTGAGTTCTTATAGATCATAGTATTGCTCTGTATTAGTTTAATTAACTGTTGTAATAATGGAAGAATTTAGTCTTGAATTTTGTTGTTTAAGATATTATGACTGCTGGGGTGCCTGGGTGGATCTGTTGGTTAAGCTTCCAACACTTGGTTTCAGCTCAGGTCATGATCTCACAGGTTGTGGGATCGAGCCCCGCTTTGGGCTGTGTGCTCAGTGGGGAGTCTGCTTGAGATTCTTTCCCTCTGTCCCTCCCTGCATCGGTGCACACATGTGCTCTCTCTCTTAAATAAATAAATACATCTTTAAAAGAAAAAAAGATTATGACTGCCATGTAAAGATATTTTGGAAAGATGTTCTGTAGAATTTCTCACATTTTGATACACAGTTATCTGAACATTGCTTTTTCTTTTATATTTCTGATAATAAAAGTGCTTGGCTAATAACCCAGCCCCAGACCCCATAAAACATGTGGAATGGTAGTCTGTGCAAATGAAAGTATCAGTGTGACTCATATTTATTACCCTTATATAATGGTTACTACTAACAAAAGAATGTGTTGAAAATCTTCATTTTCCATCCGCAGTGACCTGTACTTAATATATTACCTTTTATTTTTAGCCAAAAAGGCTTCTGGAATGCTGTCCTTCTTCCGAGGGACAGCAGGGAAAAGCCCTGATCTCTCTTCCCAGAAGAGAGAGACCTTACGTGGAGCAGATAGTGCTTACTACCAGGTTGGGCAGACGGGCAAGGAGGGGACGGAGAGTCAAGGCATTGAGCCTCAAGGTGTGTGAAAGGAGACCAAATTGTGATTATTTTACTTGCTTGTGTTTTTATAGCCTTGAATAGATAATTCTTACTGCTGGGGCATTCACTCTTTTCTCATACCTCAGTATGGCAGAGTGGAAAAAGCATGGCACTTGTAGAGTCCAACTGGCTTTAGATATTATTGCTATCACTTACTGTGTTACTAAGGATCAGAAATCCTTGGTTTCCATACCTGTGAAGTGGCAAAAGTGATGTCTTCCATGGTTTATTGAGGACTGAGTGACATTAAACATGTAAAACATCGATCTCACCTTGGAATTCGTAGTTGCATACTTAAATGTTTTCATTCCACTACCCACTCAGACATTTCCTTTCTTTCCCAGTCTCTGTAGGGTTGAGGGTATTGATGTCTGCCTTCATTTTGATATTTAAAAATATATCTACCTGATTGTGTTTGAATATGGGGTAGACCAGGCATCAGTAAACTGTGCTGACCTGTTTTGTAAGTAAAGTGTATTGGAACAGAAGCATGCCCATTCATTGACTGATTGGCTGCTTGCGAGTCATATCGATAAATTGAATAGTTGTGACTGAATAAAATTCTTACCATCTGGCCCTTTACAGAAAGAGTTTGGCAACCTCTAGGTTAGATCATGAATTAGTAGTCTAAAAGTTAGCATAATAAATTTTCATTAGTAATTAAGATATCTGTTTAGTATTCTATAGACTTCTGTTGGGCTGTAATCCTTGGAAGACATTGGTGCTTTGAAAAAAATAATTTAGAAATGTGAAACATGGAGGATCACTTCTTCTAGCTCTTGACATATATTCCAAATTTGTAATAATTAGAGTGCATCTAGCAGTAGCTCTGCCACACAAATCAAGTATAAAAAATAGCTGTGAAGTAGACACTAGTATATTTTATGTATTATATGTATATATCTTAGTATATGACAAAGAAAGCATTTCAAGCTGTTGGAGAAGCATTATTCCACACACAGGGAAAACAGTCAGAAACTGATAAAGAAGTAATGGGAACTTGACAAAAGAGCTGTGTTAGTATATTATTTTGTTTTTTTTTTTAATCTGTTTTTTTTATTTAAAACCAGTTAGCATATAGTATATTATTAGTTTCAGAGGCAGAGTTTAATGACAGTATATTGTTATCAGAGGAATCAGATATAAGAAAAATTATTCTTCAACCAGAATTCTCTATTTTTAATCTGGAAATTGCTCTTTCAAAAGGTGCTTATATTTTTGTAATAGTTTGTAAAGTTTGATTGTACACATAATTCTTGCTCGGGAGTGACTTGACCAGGATAACAAGAATTGACTTATTAGTTTCTATTGTTATGTCAGGGGAAAAAGACAAAATGAACTGATAACCCATTGAAAACTGACTTTACTAATGATCTTAAAACTTTTTAGATGAGGTAGATGGAGGAGATGCACAAAAGAAACAACTTATAAATCCTCATGTGGAGCTTCGTAAGTATGAGATAAAATACTTGTTTGGGGACAGGGACTGTAATTGAGAAAACTATTATTTAAGGCTTCTGGCATTATATTAGATAATATCCTGTTTCTTGGAATGAATATTGTCTGTGTGCTGACATAAGCTTTACTTAATCTAGATTTAGTTTATAAAATAAACATTATTTAATATATAAAGAAATTAATTTAAATTATAATTTAATTTATAAGGTGTAATTGAATTTCTAATGTTTAAATAATTATTGTGTAATCTAGAGCCATAGAGCCTTGACCAGGTGTCTAGAATTGTGTGTGTATGCCAAAAATTTATCATCTAGAATAATAAGTACAGTAAAATTTAAGGTGTAAAAGTATATTGATTAAAGTACAGTAACCAGTTTAAAATTAGAAATGGGTCTTATTTTATTTTTGATTTTTCTGTAAGGTCATTAGATGGTTTTCAGTCTTCCCTGAGAATCATTTTAACAGACCCGTGATAAATAGGGGTGTAAACTTAACATGAGAAATGGTATCTCGGAGAAAATGAAATGGTCAGATTTGTCGGGTGTGGGGAGTGGGCAAGACAGAAGAGAGATTTCTGATTCACAAAAGGCCCTCCCCCTCTCCTTCTTTTTTTAAACACTTCTGTTCATAGAATTTTCTGATGCAAATGCCAAGTTTTACTGTCGCCTGTACTACGCGGGAGAGTTTCACAAGATGCGCGAAGTGATTCTGGGCAGCAGTGAAGATGATTTCATTCGTTCTCTTTCCCACTCGTCGCCCTGGCAGGCCCGCGGGGGCAAATCAGGAGCTGCCTTTTATGCAACTGAGGGTACGTCTTTTTAGTCACTTACTCACTGAGTTGAGTAGTAGCCATCTTTCCCCCTCAGATAATTTGTGAATCCCTTGAACTGAGGTTGTATATAGTCAGCTGGCAAATGAAGTTTTCTGTTTTTCTGCTGGAGAGGATGTAGTAACAATATTTAAAAGAATATACAGGTATGTGGTGTGCAGTTAGAGACAGACATCGATTCGATCCTTACTAAACTGTCTCTGGTCCTGATTTCGACAAATGTAAACTGTAATGGAGAACTTCTAGAAGACTCAAAAGGGTTCCTCAGAGCTGATGAGACAAAGATAAAAATACAAATACTTAACCTGAAAATAGGAGGGCCAGGTTCTTCACCTGCAAAGGTTTACAGAAGATGATGACCATTTGTACTTCACATTCTATTCTCCATACCCTGAAAACAAAATTATCCGAGAAAATGCAGCAGGAACAAATGTCAAGCAAAATGTGGCTTGATAAGAGCTTTCATAACTGTGACTTGCCTAACTTTCATAACTGTGCATTGTTAAAGGAGTCTACAGAAGTTTACTTAGTAGTTTTAAAAAGTAGACTATCTAGTTATGAATTCAGGTCTGGTACTGTCAAAGGTAGAGGCCTCTTGATTGTATAATTCTCAAGAACTCTTTGAGCCCTCTGTTACTTGAGAACTATGTTCTGATGAAAATGTTCTCTGTGATATCAGAAAATCTCCCTTAAAGCTATGAAGCAAACATATCATTTGGGATGGACGTCATTGGGATGGGACATCATTTGGGATATTTGGAATGATGTAGTACAGGTTACCTCAGGAAATATTGTGACTGAATAAACATCAATGACGCTTCTGCCTTTTAGATGACAGATTCATTTTGAAGCAGATGCCTCGTCTGGAAGTCCAGTCTTTCCTCGACTTCGCACCGCACTACTTCAATTATATTACAAATGCTGTTCAACAAAAGGTAGAAATCCCAAACGTTGGTCTGTAATTAGAATTTTCTGGACTTTTTCACATCCTGAGAGTCCTGGTGGCAGTTTTTTCCATGCTAAGATAGGGACCGGACGTGTCTGGATCTTTTTTGATATTGAGCTCTGATAGAATGCACTCATAACTCTCTTTCCCATTTTTGCCAGTGAGGATCCAAGAAATCCCCAGCAGGTTGCATTTAATTTGTGTGTGTGTGTGTAGAAACATTACGATTGGATGAAAATAGCTGCACATTATAATTTGTAATTTTGTCGAGACAGAAATTGGAAATATTTGTTGAGACCTGCATGTGTTGGTCCTTAGGTAGAAAGAAAACCAGTGCCTGTCAGGTTTGCCCACTTGACATTTAGCAATGATCCTCCCAGTAAGTCTATAAAGGAGTCATTAGATTGTTTTTTTTCCATTTATGGTTTATTGCATATTTGGGAGGAGATTATATGTCATGACAAAATTTGTGACTGAGAAATTATAAAGCATTATCCTTTGGGAGAACATGGGATCTAATGTTTTTATTGGCATTGCTGTTTTTACTTCTGAGATTTAAGGGTTTAAGTTTCTTTCAAAGTCCTTTGGTCATATTAATAGAAAATCTTGTTTGGATATTACATGGGTACTCCAGATATGGGTATTAAATTACAAATTTTCTTGTTTAGAGGCCCACTGCATTGGCTAAAATTCTTGGAGTTTACAGAATTGGTTATAAGAATTCTCAAAACAACACTGAGAAGAAGTTAGATCTCCTTGTCATGGAAAATCTTTTCTATGGGAGAAAGATGGCACAGGTAAGGATATTGAACTGTGCAAACCATTTAGCTACTGGAACCTTTTGCACTTCTGGTTCCTGAATGTAATGAATCAGAGAATAACACCTTATTCGATAGTATTAAACCTCACTTGGTAGCCAAATTTAACTTCTACCTTAGTATTATGTGGAGTTTTGATATCAAAACTATAAGTTTCCTAAGACTGTTTGCATCTGGTTTTTAAACTGCTTTATGATCCAGTGTTAAATTTTTGGAGTTATTTGTTAATGTATCTTAAAGTTGATTAAGTGGGTTAGTTTATTCTTCAAGTGTTTGAGTAACTGAATACCTGGGTGTTAATTCTCAATGATGAATTGAATTATCATCTGTTTTATGTCTTGCATAATTATAATACACGCCTTATATATAATTTTATATGTAATATATTTAATATAATATATAATATGTTTAATACAATTATATAAGTTATGATTAAGTTTTAAAATTAAATTTAAAAATCTGTGTAATGGTATAGGCAACAAGGAATCTTTTTGCATTTCCTGTTTATTACATTAATTAATTATGCAACTCATGCATAAATGATGGAAATTTTTCTTTCTTCTAGGTTTTTGATTTGAAGGGTTCGCTTAGGAATAGAAATGTAAAAACCGATACTGGGAAAGAGAGTTGTGATGTGGTCCTGCTGGATGAAAATCTCTTAAAGATGGTTCGAGACAACCCTCTGTATATCCGTTCTCATTCCAAAGCCGTGCTGAGAGCCTCGATCCGTAGTGACTCCCACTTTCTTTCTAGCCACCTCATTATAGACTACTCTTTGCTGGTTGGACGAGATGATACTAGCAACGAGCTGGTCGTCGGAATTATAGGTAAGTCAGTGAGCATATGTTACTTACAGTTCATGATTGAAGCCGGAGTAAATTGATGATTATACTGAAATCGGGTTAGTCATAGCTTATTAAATATTTTCACCAACTTTCATTTGAAAATTCAACAATAGCTTTTAAATTTTAGTTACCTTCTGTTCAGTGTCTCATTTTCATTTCATTATCTTTACCAAAAATATCTGTATTCAAAAGTTACTCATAAAGGAAGCCTTGTGACGTTATTAGGAGGATTAAAATAATTAAATGGAAAAAACCCTTGGGACAGTGCCTGGCAGTATTGTTAGCATTCAGTAAACATTATAGAAGTAGTAGTAATTACTGTTGTTATCTTCTTATATTTACTAACATAGCTGTACTGCTAACCTTGCTTCCTGTAACAGATTATATTCGAACATTTACATGGGACAAAAAGCTTGAGATGGTTGTGAAATCAACAGGAATTTTAGGAGGACAAGGTGAGCAGAAGTTTTGCTTATTCTTTAAATTATTCTCCTGTCTTCCTTATCAGTTAACATTTAAGAAATGGGTACTTTTTTAAATCCTAAAAAAATAAGCGGTTATCTCTGATTTTATCATTTCCAAAATGATCAAATAATAAAGGGAATTGCATAGGTGGGGAAATAATTGGTTTTCAAGTTGTGTTAAAATGCCAGAATGAAAAGTTACCCCCCCAAAAAGCTAGATATTCTGAGTAAGGGGCTGTTTTTAATTAATAGTTGAAATCTTCGAAGTTCTCTGAGCCTTGCTGGCTCCATTTGTGCTTTCACACATCTCTCATCTCTAGACAAGAGCTGGTCTCTTATTTGTCAGGTAGAAGGTGGGGGAATGGGGTAGAGGGAAATGGAGAGAGAATCTTGAGCAGGCTCAGTGCCGAACCTGACTCTGGGCTCGCTGTCACGGCCCTGAGATCCTTACCTGAGCCGAAATCAAGAGTCGGACACTCGACTGACTGACTGACTGCACCACCCAGGTGCCCCCGGGAGCCAGTCTTTTAAAATAGAAACTCCTACCAGAAAGACCCTGTTACGTGGCATAGTGGACACACCCCTACCTCCTTTCTGAGACTGTTATGTGTGTGTGTGTGTGTGTCTTTACAGCAGTTGTCATGAAAGAACATAGCTGTTCGGGTCAGCTCCGTAACAGCTTTTTCTCTTTGCTCTTTTATAATCTTAGGCAAAATGCCAACTGTGGTCTCTCCGGAGTTGTACAGGACTAGATTCTGTGAAGCGATGGACAAATATTTCCTGATGGTTCCAGACCACTGGACGGGTTTAGGTCTGAACTGCTGAAAGGGAGCACGTGATTTTGAAATGGACCGTGAATGAAAGGGGCCCGGAACAAAGGACCAAAAATAAGCTACATGTTTTATTTCTTCATCACATTCACCATTGTATGCCAAGGCCTTCCCGTTCTGTGGTCGTGTGGGCCGTTGCACTTTGGTTTTTGATAAGTACAGATTAGCTGTCTTATGCCGGGAAGTTGCATGAACATTTTTCCACTTCAGCTAAAATACAGACACATTTCACAGGGCTAAAGACGAATGTATGGTCAGAGGTGAGGAGATAAGGGTGAAAAAATGGGGTGTTGGTTTTGTTAACAGTCCTGTTAAGAAAATAATGCTTCCTAGATTTTGGCTTTCCCAGCGTCTCATTTGACATACTCTTTACTTAGCATTTGTAGAGGTGGTGAATTTGTTTTGTGTTTCTTACATAAAAGTATAATGTTGCCTATTATCGGATTTTCTGAAACCTTTAAAAAATTCTGAATGACTCTCTTAATGGCCAGTGAAAAAAATGGACCCAGTCTGTTCTTGTTTTATTGGGGCATTTGACTTAAATTGGGAATCCTGTTGTGTTCTTAAAGGTAAGAGTGTTTTTTGAGTTTTTGAGTGTGCTTGCTGTGTTTTAAGTTCTGTCTTCTCTGCGGGTGACAGGAGACTCTAGCCATTAACTGTAAGCCTTCTTTTGGAGCTGTTTTTTAAGCTTGTTTATAACTTTTGTGCAATTAATATGTTCAACTTCACTTACCACACATGCTCATATTCTAGGTTTTCCTCCACTTTCAGGGAAACAGTAAATTGGTCTATTGTGACTAACTTCCCAAAGGGAGAATTACTGAGGATTTTTTTTTTTTAATGGAAAAAATAAATTAGACCTTACCCAAGATATTGGGTGAGACGTAAACACTTGCTTGTTTTCTGTAAAGGTAAAGTGTCTTTTTCAATATAAATAGCGATTTAAATGACATCTGTAAAACTAAGAGGTTTCTAGCGTGGACATCTGTTTCTTAACTTTCTGCACTAGTTTCTCGGCCGGTTCTGATTATTGAGAAATGTTAAGAGATAAAATATTTGTAGTAAGGAACTTCTTGTTTAATAGAGTTTTTCTTTGTTTAAAAGTGATCTGAGACGGTACTAAACTAACCTTGAGGAAATAACAGAACGACAAATACTTCCCGTGGCTGCTCTCCCTAACAAGGGTAATTTGGGGATTTATAAAGTTTTATAAAGTTCTCTTTTCAGGCTTCCTCTAATAGCACATTTCTACTGTAACTTTCACAAAATAAGACAAAGAAATCTGGGTACATTCCAGTTACAGAGACTGTGAGTATGTGAAATAGGAACATTTTGGAAAGTTTGCTTTAGAGAAGGAAAGCATTAGTTTGGTGTTTGGTGCTTATTGGATACGTGGTTTGTTTTGAACTAGTTAACAAGTTGACCAAGGTCTTAGGACTAATTTTAAGCACTTTTTAAATAAACGTGGTGTGCCTTTTGAAACTCACAGAACACTAGTGGTTTTAATTTTGATATTACAGACGAGAAAAGGATGGGCTCCTGCAGAAGTGAAACAGGTGGATGGGATGTAACTTTTCCAGTCCAGAACAATGTCTCTGTTCTTTTTTGCAGTCAGCATACTTAGGATTATTTGTCCATTTCCTGCACCCTCATTCATGCACTCCCCAGGAGAAGGTAGCTTTCCTTCCCTGTAGTCAGGTGGTTTCTTTGTTTTGGTCTCAATACCAAATATGTGGAGCTGGAATCCTCCCCTGGAATAATTCCTGACCGTAGTGTGTGTCACGTTGATTTCGTTTTCCCTGCCCATGACTTGAAGACCTCTTTTTTAAAGCACTGCTGCCTCTTAGATAATTTGGAGGCTAAAGAAGTTCCAGTATAATACGATCCCAAGCAATACTTGCTACCTTGCAAGGGTGATCTGTCCTTTTAAAATGTCTTAATGAAAGGGAAGTAAATTTGTGAGTAGTCGAACTATATATATCCTCACCCCCAGCTGCTTTTGTGGAGGCCGCTACCTTATGTGTATATAAGGGTCTTCCAGTGTTGTGCTTCTTGGTGTTAAGCATTGAATGACCACTCACGTCCCTTGAGTTCCCTTCTGAGGTTTGGAGAATATTGATGTTGAAAAGTTAAGACTGAGGAAGAAATCTTACTACTTTCTTCCTTAGAGTAAAATACAAATCCTGAGAAAATGGATAGTAGCACAAGAAAACTCTGTGAACGTGTTGCATTGTATAAACATCTTATTTATAAATATGAAGGGTTTTGATGCCCTCAAGACTTTATGGAAAAATTAAAAAGATTTACTTTTTCTTACCCAAGTCTGAGAAAAATAAGGGGAATCGGCTATTGCAAGCCCTTTTGTAGTTTGTTGAATAATTTAAATTTGTAGACATTCAAAATTTCCTACAAAATGCTGCTTATAATTTTTTTCTTGATCCAGCCATTAGTGGTTTTCTAGCTTTGGCTTTTATTGGGTATTGTATATAGGTTTGTATTGGTTTTGGTGGCGTCGGCGTCTCCTTGGCATTTTACTGATTAGCATTCGGCCAAGGAAGAGCCATCTACCTGCAGAAAGTTTATTTAGCTAGCAGAATGGAAACTTGTGAATGAGCCTGGTGGTGAAATAGGTCAGGCCATTCATTGTTCCTCAAGTGTCAACATACTGACTTAGACAGTATTCAAACCATCTAGAGCAACGCCTTTTTGCTTATTTGTTTTTGTAACACGGGTGCAGTGTACTATAGAAAACAAAAATTACAATCATGAGCAGTTTTATTAATGCTGCTGTGCTGGTTTTGTAAAAAAATGTACATTATGTCTTTTGACAGGTTTGATTTTAACTAGAGAAATGACATTGTAAATCATAATATTCTCTTTTAATTTAATACGAAGAATTCAATTAACAATATTGAAAATACTTAATGTATTATATTGTATATATTTCTCTACTTTGGTTCTAGCTGTTTTATATGATTGACATGTTATTTAAGAGATAAAACTGCCTTGACCTTTTGGAGACTTACACTGTAAATAAAGAAGACTTAAAATAACAGAATCAGCTTCACTTCGTTTTGAATCAGCTTGAATTAGCAAGCGGAGATGGCGTTTGGTGCCCAAGCCTCGCCCCTCGTCCCCCATCACTGGCCTCAAAGTGTTGCCTTCTGTTTGTTCTCTTGCCCTTTGTTTCCCCATAAGATTTGTCTTTCACTAGTAAATGGCCTTCTTAAGTCCCAGAAAAGGGGGTCTTAAGTCTGTGCGTTTGCGTCTGTCAATCATGGTTTCACCTTTTCTGCCCTCCTTTTCTTCATGTGTTTCTGCTTTCCTGGTGGGACACTCAAGAAGGTACTGCCCTTTCTCAGCTTGGAATGGCTGATTCGCCTTGATGGCAGGCTCTCTAAGCTATTAGTTGGTTCCCAGCCTGTTCAGAGGAGTCTACCTGACTGGACCCGGCTATGCTGTAACCAGCAGCTGCTCCCCTTTGGGCAGCCTGGTCCCCTTCAGTGCGCCTGGGCTCTCCCGGGGCCATGGGAGCCACTGCTATGGTGGGGTGGTGCTTGTGCTGGGGCCAGGCACCTAGTTCTCTGTTCCACCCACCTGGAAGTGTCCTGTGGTGGAAATCCTTTTCTCGTACATTTCCCAGCTCAGTGCTTAACAAAACTAAGATTTATAACCTAAGTTTAAAAACTGTGGCTAAAACCATTCCAAATATATCATCTTAACCACTTTTAAGTATATAATTTAGTAGCGTTAACTATATTCACATTGCACGTTATATCCCTGAAAGGTTTTCATCTTGCAAACCTGAAACTATACCCATTGAGCCATTTCTCCTGTTCACCCGGCTCTCTGGTAACCATTCTCCTTACTGCTTTCACTAATTTGACTGCTTTAGGTTCTTTACTGTAAGCGAAGTCATATAAGATTTGTCTGTGGATGGCTTATGTTACTTATAATATCTTCATTCAACCATGTCATAGCATTTCCTCCCTTTCTTAAGTTAAATGAGGGACGCCTGGGTGGCTCAGTCGGTTAAGAATCTGTCTGCCTTCAGCTCAGGTCATGATCCCAGGGTCTTGGGTTTGAGTCCTGCTTCGGGCTCCCCGCTTAGTGGGGAGCCCGCTTCTTCCTCTGCCTGCCGTTCCCCCTACTTGTGCTCTCTCCCTCCCTCTCTCTGACAAATAAAATCTTAAAAAAAAAAATGATTTTCTAGGTTGAATGATACTCCATTGTATGTATGTACCACATTTTCTTTATTCATTATCAGGGGATATTTGAATTGCTTCCACCTCTTGGCTGCTGTGAATAATGAACATGGAAGTGCAAATGTACTTTGAAGATCCTTTAAAGAAATTCTTTTGGATAAATACAGAGAAGTGGGATTGCTGGATCCCATGGTAGTTCTATTTTTTTAAATGTTTTGAGGAATCTCCATACTATTTTCTCTAGCAACTGTACCATCTCCCAATCCTACCAACAGTAGTACACAGGGTACCAATTTCTCCATGTCCTTTCCAACACTTGGTTACTCATTTTGATGGTGGCCATTCTAATGAGCGTGAGGCAATATCTCATTGTGGTTTTGATTTGCATTTCTCTCATGATTAGTGATGTTGAGCATATTTTCATATGCATGTTTATCATTCGTATATTTGGAGAAATGTCTGTTCCAAGTCCTTTGGCCGTGTCTAAATTTGACTTCTTGACTTTTTTTTGTTGTTGCATTGTAGGAGTTCTTATATTTTCTGGATGTTAACCCCTTATCAGATGTATGATTTGTTAGTGTTTTCTCTCATTCCATAGCCTGCCTTTTCATTCTGTTGATTGTGTCCTTTGATGCACAGAAGTTTTTGGCTTAGTCTGTTTGTCTCCCTTTGCTTGTACTTTTGATGTCATATGCAATAAATCATTGCCAAACCCAATGTGTTGACGCTTTCCCCTTCTTATAGTTTTACAGTTTTAGGGCTTTATCCTATTTCGAGGTAACTTTTATATGTCGTAAAATAAGGTCTAACTTTACTCTTTTGCATGTGGATATCCAGTTTCCTAATACCATTTGTAGAAGAGACCATCTTTTCCGCATAAGTGGTCTTGGCACCCTTATCAGGGATCATTTGAGCATATAAGCAA